ATTGGCGAATGGAGTGTTTTGTCTATTAATTTTGCCAAAATCATTTTACTAAAAAAAATTCTTTTAAAAAAACATCTAATAAACAGTAGGTAATAACAAAATCAAAAGTTTATTAACAATTGAATTTTTTAAAGCTCTTAGCTTCGCAAAACTCGAAAATTCGATTGTCTGCTAATTGGCGGATTGAGAATTTTGTCTAGTAATTTTGCTAAAATCATTTTACTAAAGAAAATTCTTGTAAATAAACATTTAATGAACAATAGGGATTAAAAAAATCAATTGTTTATTAACAATTGAATTTTTTAAAGCTCTTAGCTTCGCAAAACTCGAAAATTCGATTGTCTGCTAATTGGCGGATGGAGTATTTTGACTAATAATTTTGCCAAAATCAATTTACGGATGGAAATTTTTGTAAATAAACATGTTATGAACAATAGGCAGCAACAAAATCAATTGCTTATTAACAATTTATTTTTTTAAAGCTCTTAGCTTCGCAAAGTTTGAAAATTCGATTGTCTGCTAATTGGCGGATTGAGAATTTTGTCTAGTAATTTTGCTAAAATCATTTTACTAAAGAAAATTCTTGTAAATAAACATTTAATGAACAATAGGGATTAAAAAAATCAATTGTTTATTAACAATTGAATTTTTTAAAGCTCTTAGCTTCGCAAAACTCGAAAATTCGATTGTCTGCTAATTGGCGAATGGAGTGTTTTGTCTATTAATTTTGCCAAAATTATTTTACTGGGGGAAATTCTTGTAAATAAACATCTTATAAACAATCGGAAACAACAAAATCAATTGCTTAATAACAAATTATTTTTTTAAAGCTCTTAGCTTCGCAAAAGTCGAAAATTCAATTGTCTGCTAATTGGCGGATGGAGAATTTTGTCTAGTAATTTTGCTAAATTCATTTTACTAAAGGAAATTCTTGTAAATAAACATTTTATGAACAATAAGCAACAACAATATCAATTGCTTATTAACAATTCAATTTTTTAAAGCTCTTAGCATCGCTAAAGTCGAAAATTCGATTGTCTGCTAATTGGCGAATGGAGTATTTTGACTAGTAATTTTGGCAAAATCATTTTACTGAACGAAATTCTTGTAAATAAACATCTTATGAACAATAGGCAACAACAAAATCAATTGCTTGTTAACAATTTATTTTTTTAAAGCTCTTAGCTTCGCAAAATTCGATAATTCGATTGTCTGCTAATTGGCGGATGGAGTATTTTGTCTAGTAATTTTGCCAAAATATTTTAACAAATAAAAATTCTTTTAAATAAACATCTAATAAACAGTAGACAACAACAAAATCAATTGTTTATTAACAATTGAATTTTTTAAAGCTCTTAGCTTCGCCAAATTCGAAAATTTAATTGACTGCTGATTGGCGGATGGAGTATTTTGTCTAGTAATTTTGCCAAAATTATTTTACTGGGGGAAATTCTTGTAAATAAACATCTTATAAACAATCGGAAACAACAAAATCAATTGCTTATTAACAATTTATTTTTTTAAAGCTCTTAGCTTCGCAAAATTCGATAATTCGATTGTCTGCTAATTGGCGGATGGAGAATTTTGTCTAGTAATTTTGCCAAAATCATTTTACTGAAGAAAATTCTTGTAAATAAACATCTAATGAACAATAGGGATTAAAAAAATCAATTGTTTATTAACAATTGAATTTTTTAAAGCTCTTGAAAAAAATTCTCGTAAAAATCCCAATTATCTTTATAAATAACAAAATTCTTCTCCAAAGTTTTCAATTATTTTGAGAAATTTTTCTAATTTTAATGATTTTCAATATCTATGATTTTAATAAAATATTTCCCAAAACGAATTCAATTATTTAAAAAAAAATTTAATTTGAAATTTTATAAAATGACAATTTTGAATGAATGAATTAAATACCTAATAAAAATTTCAGAGGAATTCTATTATTTACAAATTTTTTATAAATTTCTTCGCAATAATTCAATTATTTTCATGAAGAATAACATTTTCTTAACCAGGAATTCAATTATTTTCATAAATAATAAAATTCTATAGGTATGTAGGTTTTCAATTATTTTCATAAATAATAAAAATCATCGCAGAATTTCAATTATTTTTGGTACAATGTTAATGGAATTTCTCGAAAAATGTAATAATTCTTAAAATTTTTATTAAAATTAATTTTCAAAGATTTTAATGAAATAATTTTTAACAATTCGATTTTTTTCAAAATAATTTGAATTAAATTCTTCGTAGAATTTAACTAATTTCAATAATATCAATATTCAATTATTTTTAATATCTACTATTTCAATAAAAATTCACATAAAAGAATTCAATTATTTAAAAAGAAAAATATTATTAAAATTCATCGCAAGAATTAAAGTATTTTTCATAAATAATAAAATTTTTCTCAGGTATTCAATTATTTTCAATACAATTATTAAAAAATTCGATTGTATTTAATAAATTAAAGAAATTTTTCAAAAAAGTCCATTATTTTAAAGAAACTCAAAGAAATTCTTCAAACGAATTTAATTAAGATTATGTAAAATTTTAATAAAATTCTTCCTAAATTCAATTATTTTCATAAACAATAAAATTCTTCAAAGAAATTCAATTATTATCAAATTTTTTGATAAAATTCTTTGCAAATGTTTTATAAATTTTTTCGCAATAATTCAATTATTGAACAAAAAAATTAATAAAAGTTCTTCATAAGAATTCACCTATTTTTGAAAATTTTAATAAACTTCGTTGCAAAAGTTCAATTATTTCTAAAAAGTTTGATAAAATTCTTCGAATCAATTCAATTATTTAAAAAAATGTTGAAAAAATTCTCGGCAAAAATTTCAATTATTTTCAAAAAATTTCCTCAATTTAATGATTTTTATAATATCTACTAAAATTTTTCAAAAGAATTCAATTATAAAAAATTTTATTGAAATTCTGCGCAAACATTTAATTATATTCATAAAATAATTAAAATTTCACAAGGAATTCAATTATTTTCATAAATAATAAAATTTTTTAAGGAATTCAATTATTATTTTCATAAAAAATAATTTAAAATTCTAGAAAATAATAATTTAATTAAAATGATGAAAATAATTTTGATGAAGTTACAGTAAAAATATTCTTATAATGGAAAATAATGATTTTATCTCTCGGTCATCTTTAATTTATTAGAAAACATGAAGAAATCGATCACTCCGAGTCTTCGACTCGGAGCAATTGATATCTTCATGTTTTACAAACAATACTTTTATAAGTTGTTTAATTTAAAAAAGGTTTGAATTTTGAATTTTTGAATGTCTTAATTCTTGTGGCAAATTCTATTCCAAAGATAAGATTAAAAATAGGGATTGTGCAAATATTTTTCTTCTTTTTCTAAAACAAAACAGGTAATAATTTTTTTTAAAAAATTGTGATTCAAAAAGAAAATAATGCAAAATAAATAAATTTTCTATTTCTTAATCACAGTTGTTTAATAATTTTTTAATCTTTTTAGAAGTAAAGAACAAAAATAATTTCAATTTGACAAAATATAATATTTAACAAAATTTTAGTCTTTTAATGAAAAGAAGTAAAAAAAATTCTGATGATTTCTATTTTCTATCTAAAGTTAACAAAAAACAAAAGTATAAACAAAAGACAACTTCAGAGTGTGAGGGACTGAAAAAGTGAATGAAAGAATGAAAGAACATTCAAATTAATATACATAGTTAATTGAAAGAACCCTGCCTATTGCAGGGAGAGTAAATGAACACATACAATGAACTTAAATAAAAAATTACCTTAGTATTTTTTAGGAAAAGAAAAAATATGCTTTATTGATTTTTATTGTTTTTGTTTGCGAACAGTTTCTATGGAAATTATATTTCAGAATATTTTTAAAACAAAACTTTGTGTTATTAACTTAATTGATTTTTATTTTTATTTGTTTGTTAAAAAGTTGCTATAGAGACAAAATTTTTAAAAACAGCAGTTTTATGAGAAGAATTGATTATTAATAGAATTTTATTACTGGCCCAATATAAATTTTACTAACATTTATTGAACAATTAATTCCAAATAATGATACTCTCCGTGATCATACAGAATATGTTAAATTAGAATGGAATGTTAAAATTTGATACTATAAAATATAAAATTATTTGTTCTGCCGGAACTTTATTTAATGTTATCACACGAATATGATATCAGTTTTCAAAAATTCAAAATAGTGGATCCATTATAACTGACGAATAAGTTTTTCAGTTATGTCATAATCATTATTTGTTTAAAAATTACTTAGATTTAAATGGCTTCAAAATGTTTAAATTTTAAATTTCGTTTAAAGTTTAAATTTTTCTAGTATAATATAAATTAAATATTTAAAAAAAGGTTGACTTCATAATATGTAACACAGTAAATTTTTTTTAATTCGTGACAAGTTTTATACAATTTAATTATTTTAAATATAATTTAATAAGGCTAGTAGTTTTTCATGCAATCTGATATCTGAATTAATATTTATACTTATTTAGGTAAAAAAAGATAAAGAAATATCTCGAATTCAAATAAAAAGTTTAATAATTGTTAGTGCAGTAAAAAATATCCCATGGAACAATGTTTGCAAACTTTTTAAAATTACGCGCAATTCAAAACCAATGAATACAATCTATTTTTTCACTTTTCTAATGGAGTATGCGCAGATGTTATCGAGACTGAAAATACCGGCGCCACTTTGTCTGAACCAAATATTTCATATTTTTAAAGTCTTTTTAAGACTTTTACATTATATCCCTAAACAATCCAATACTGACTCTATTTTTTAAATTATTGTAAATTATTTATATATCAATAAGTAATGTGAACTGTGCACTATATCACACATTATAAATTTTATGTATTTCAGAATTAAATAATTATAACTTATAAGCTTATTCAAAGAAAAGTCAATAAAATGTTTTTTAATATTTTAAAATTCAAGATATTTATTAATTTATTGATCATACCTCGGCATTTTTTATTTGAATCTAAGTCTAATAGAATTTTTCCACTGACAGTTTCTCCAGGTTTGTAGGTTTGAACAGGATTATCAAAGATAATCTTAAACTTCTTTATTCCCATTTTAGAGAAAATAAGTTACTGAACTATTTACAAAAACTTTAAAATGAATGGAAGTAAATAAATGAGTTAATACTTTCCATACACTGTATTCGCAGCATTCAGTTCAAAATAAACTGGAAACTATCTATATTTTTACTTCGAATGTCGAATTTAAGTTCTGCGCATACTCTTAATATTTATTCTATAATTTATTTCCACTTGATATCATCAATAGGATAAAATATAATTAAAAACGTTTTTTTGAATTCTTTTATGACTTGAAATATTTATAATCAATAAAGTATTATTAATTCCAAAAAATAAACAAATTCTTTGAAAATTGTAAACAAATTTGTTATAATTAAGCAAATCCTGAAAAAGTAAAATTGTAACTATAAGGATCTTCTTTGTAAAAATATATTTTAGGTACATACGTCTAATGGAAAATAAAAATTTCGTAATTCATTGGTGTAACTTTATTTTCAGCTTTCATGTTTAAAAATTGTATTACATTATATATTTTCGTTAAATTAATATAAATGTACAAATTTTGTTGTATATTTTGACTATTAAGTCGCAAATTGATACATTTTTTAATTTCTTCTTTCTTGTAAATAAAACGGAAAAATCCAATTTCGTACATTTTCAGGTATATTTGTTGCATAATTTTTATTGATCTTTTGCATGTCTTATTTAAAAAAATTTTAAATACAGTAGATGAATGAATATTATTATTATTACTAAAAACAATATCTTTCATAACACATCAGTGTATAATAAATATTACTATCAGAAATGTATTCTAGATAAAAAATTTATAAAAAATTATATTACACTTTTGAAACAGATTACAAGAATTATTTATAATAAATAAAAATAAGCATAATAATAATAAACTATATTTTGGACCAAACATTTTTTGAGCTTTATGTTTTTGATAAAAACTCCATCAAGGCAATATTAGTAAAACTATTTGTCTGTTCTACGTAATAATTTTTTTTGTATATGTAATGTCTCAAAATAATATAATATACTTTCTTTATTTTCCTCCTTATTGGTGTATTTAATAAAATTTAATACAATACTATTTCGTATTAAGTCTTTTGTATCGAATATAATTAAAATATTTTTATAATATCGAATTATCAAAAAATCACAAGCATTTTAATTACCATAGAAAATTATTTACAATCATATCGAAAGACCACATAAAACATCTTATTTTAATAAATTAATAATAAACTTTGATTGTGCATTTTGGTTTTTTGTATTCGAAGCTCTTTTATAAGCGTAAGCAATCAATTCTGTCATGTACTGAGAGAAAATACGTTCATATTGTACTTATTATATAAGTATGTAAAAAGAACTAATATCACTTTGAATTCTCCCTTTTCATGGGAATTAATGATATCAGGTTTTTTTTAAAAAGAATTGAAAAGCAAAATAATTCTTTACTGAGATGGGGTAAAATTATAAACTGGATATCGTGGGGCAAAGTGGTTTTTGGTCCCCATGACATGTTCGGATTCATCTCGATCACGAAGACTTCGTGCTCCATTTATTGATTCTTCATAAGATGGTGGAGCTGCAACAATAAATAAATGTAACTAAATAAAGTTTTTACAAATAATATTTGTGGAGGGAAAAATGTTAAAACATTTAATCATTTAAATGTTTTAACAAATTTTATATCAAATTTAATGTTTAAAAAAAAATCCACTAAATTTCTGTGACCTATCGATTTGCGGTAAATATATTAGCAAAAAATTCACTTACGCAAATTAGGATAGAGATTTCCAATTGGTGAACTATCGGTCACAGTGTACTCGGGAGGTAATTGAGGAGCTGACGGAGTGAAGTCACCACCATCTGTAGTCACTGTATTCCATCCATAAGTCATATCTTTAGTTGGGTATTCCTGTTTAGCTGGTGTCACTAAAGATTGATAATTTGACAGAGGAACGGTTCCAATAAAGACTAGAGTACTTTTCCTTAAATTCTTGCGATACCTAGTGAACATTTAAAAAATTTATGTTTTCCAAAAATCTTAAATTCATTGAAGAAAATGATAATGCTTCTGAAGGGGGCGCATGATTATTCCCCAAATGTCATTTTTCCGAAATGTCAGTTTACCGAACTGCACTTTTGCGAATAGTCAATTTTGCGAGAAGACAATTTTGCGAAATGTCACTTTTGCGAATTGTCATTTTTGCGAATCGCAATTTTTACGAATTGTCAATTTTCCGAAAAGTTATTTTTGCGAATCGCCATTTTTACGAATTGTCAATTTTCCGAAAAGTCATTTTTGCGAATTGTCATTTTTACGAAAAGACATTTTTGTGAAATGTCATTTTTGCGAAAAGAGATTTTTCTGAAATGTCATTTTTACGATTAGTCATTTTTGCGAAAAGTCATTTTTGCGAATTGACATTTTTGCGAATTGTCATTTTTGAGAAATGTCATTTTTGCAAATTGTCACTTTTGCGATTTGTCAATTTTTCGAAAACTCATTTTTGCGAATTGTCATTTTTACGAAAAGACATTTTTGTGAAATGTCATTTTTGCGAAAAGCCATTTTTGCGAATAGTCATTTTTACGAATTGCCATTCTTGCGAATTGTCAATTTTCCGAAAAGTCATTTTTGCGAATCGCCATTTTTACGAATTGTCAAATTTCCGAAAAGTAATTTTTACGAATTGTCATTTTTGCGAAAAATACAATAGAAACTTGTAGGTATCTATAAATTCACTATTGTATTTTTCGCAAAAATGACTTTTCGGAAAATTGACAATTCGTAAAAATGGCGATTCGCAAAAATGACTTTTCGGAAAATTGACAATTCGTAAAAATATCGATTAGCAAAAATGACAATTCGCAAAAATAACAATTCGTAAAAATGGCAATTCGTAAAAATGGCGATTCGCAAAAGTAACAATTCGCAAAAGTGACATTTCTTAAAAATGACAATTCGCAAAAATGGCAATTCGTAAAAATGACTTTTCGCAAAAATGTATTTTCGTAAAAATGACAATTCGCAAAAATGAGTTTTCGAAAAATTGACAAATCGTAAAAATGGCGATTCGCAAAAATGACAATTCGCAAAAATGAGTTTTCGAAAAATTGACAAATTGTAAAAATGGCGATTCGCAAAAATGACTTTTCGGAAATTTGAGAATTCGTAAAAATTGCGATTCGCAAAAATGACAATTCGCAAAAATAGATTTTCGTAAAAATTACAATCCGCAAAAGTGACATTTCGCAAAATTGGCTTTTCGCAAAAATGACTATTCGCAAAAATGCAGTTCGGTAAAATGACATTTCGGAAAAATGACATTTGGGGAATAATCATGCGTCCCCTTCTGAAGTTGACACCGCTTTCACAAAACTGCCCTACAATTTAAAAACTGCGGTAAATGACATTAACCCTTAGGTTATAGCTTCAGTTTTGTAAACATACAGAAATCAACCAAAGGGAAAATGTTACTTGCAGCAATTCTTCTCTTGTAGGTCAGAGAAAGCTTATAAAATATTTTCATATTGAGCTTGCAAAAAAATTGTCAGCTAACTGTCCAGAAAACTTCCACAAATTTTTTTGTGTAAATATGTGTAACGTCAGAGCATATAGGCTTTTGTTGGAAATGCTGGACTTTCTTTCGGCGCGTCCCCCTATCTAAGGGCAGTACCGATTAGGGGTATTACAGGGGCTATGAGGACCACGCCAACAGTTGCATTGGGATTCATACTAGCCGAAGTACCTCTGCATATTGCTGCGGTGAAAAAGGCGGCTCCCATTATGAGCAGACTAACCGCGCAGGGAAAGTGGAAGTTTGGTGGTAAACAAACTAAGCTTACACGTTCAATTCTATCAATCCCACAATTAAATATTTAAGAGCTTTAAGATCATTATACCTTCCAAAATGGATTGGAAGAAGAGTTTTTCACTTGGGGACGAAGTCTGGTATACAGACGGCTCCAAAATGGACTGCGGTGCAGGCTTTGGAATTTATCGAAAAACTGGCTGCATTAAAGTGGCTGAGTCACTGGGACAATACGCCACGATCTGGCAAGTCGTGGTCTGTGCGATTTTAACTTGCGCCCAAATATCAATTCGGAAAGTAAGAAAATGCATTCTCCTGAATCTCGATAAGATAAGAGTTAGAACTGCAATTCGTCTGCTTACGGGTCATTGACTATTGAATTACCATCAGCATAAAATAGGTAGACAAGTTTCACCTATGTGCAGATTGTGTGAGACGAGCAATCAAACTGCGACTCACATTTTATCTGAATGACCAGCGTTGGCTAGGATCAAGCTTTCTAGCTGGGATCAAGTAACTATTGACCCTGAGCAGGTGAGAAACTTATCGATAGAAGAGATACTGCACTTCTGGAGAAGAACAGGGATTTAAATAAGTTGCAATATATGAGCAAGCTGGAGTTTGGGACAATGGGTTCTAACCTGGATGCCTACCTCCCCTTGTGGAAAATCCAGTTTGAGTTCGGTTTTAGATTAGTTTAGAAGGGTGGTACCGATGAAATCAAATATCTGAAGTGGATCAACATCAGCAGATTATAAAAAATCTGTGAAATACAAGACAACAACAATTGATAACGCAAGTGGTCCTCTTAATGGGGGCGGAATACAATTAGTGCTTCCGAAAGCATTGAATTCTTAGCTTTTGTAAGATAGACTATGCCTGGAATGCAGGAAGACTGATGCCCGATGAAATGGAGAAGCAGTTAGTTGCCGTTATACTGGTCTCGATAAAAACCCCGAGGAACGGAGTGCATTCTAAATGATATGACCGTTTCGACTGATGTTCCTTTTTTAAGAAACAACATGATGCCAATTCTCACAGATTTCCTCCTGCAGAACTATATACGAAAAAAACTTGGGTGATAAACCGTTCTAAATAGACCGAAAGTTCATGAATGCGATACAACTTTGATTCGGAAGAGCTACATTTCTCATTCGGGCGTGCTGGTCGTACAAGATGTGGCTATTGCAGTTCCAAGGTTCGGAGTCTCAATCTTGGGTGTTCAGCACCACCGATTAAGGAACGTAGATTTTACGAATTAAGATCGTAGCACAACCAAACTAGAATTCCTCCACTTTTAGACGATTGGGATTGCACGGCACTCAACATTTTTTTAGTATAGTACAATTAATAAATGGTACTGACACTTTACGTCTTGCGAATTTGTTCCACGCGGAACATTTACATATGATAAAATTTTCAGGCATTCTTCTATTTAGTTAAGATGGACACTACGAATTACTAAAGGGAACAAATTGTGGAAAATATTGAATTTACCATCCATCGGCGCAGGCTTCAAATTTCAATTCGTATTTGAGATCAATGATAGCACAATTATTTAAATTTGATGGCGGCAGTGCGGGTACGTCTAAAGTTTGTTCGTAGCTGACCGTAGCATTACCATCCACTGGACCTTTGCTGACTTCTGCTATCGTCATGTATTCCGTTTTAGTGTCAGTATGTGGAGTATTGACACGATATGTAACAACCTATAAAAAGAATTTGTACATTTCACAAAATTAAATAATTAATTAATTCTAATACAAAATTCTTAATTTTAACTAATGTATATCTTTACATAAAACCCAAATATAATAAAACTTATGTAGAAAAATTCTTTTCTCCAAAAAAGTGTACCTTTTGAAGTATTAGTTTTACAGTTGTTACTTCAACGCCAGACTGATTTTCAACATTGACCTTAATTGGCATCGATTGTCCTGGAACATATCCTCGCACAGGAAGTGAAATATTCACAGACAAAGGTGCCGAAGCGCAACAAAGACAACAGAAAGTTTTTGTTTTTTCCTCCATGATTGGTTCCTGAAAGTAAAATACCTAATTGTTAAACAAAATTTTTAATTTTAAACTTCATCAACTAATTCTATTAAATATTTTTTTTAAATTAGAGTAGTAACTATTTTTAAATCTATAAAAGTGTAAATAGGTATGTGAAAATATTACTAATGCTCTGGATTCAGTGTTGAGATCAAAAGAGGAGACAACTGTGAAGGCATCTTTAGTTTCTTGATCAAATTTCCATGGTCGATCGATAATGGCTTTTATTGTATATCTAACATAACCCAAATCCGACTCAAAGCTGCTAGGTATGTTTGGTGGCAAGAGACAAACGAAAGGATAAAAATGTTGTCCAGCTTTTACTTCAAACTCTCCATCTGAAAAATAAGCATTCCTGCATTAAAAGGATATTTCATAGAATTAGTTTTCAGAGAAGAATTAAAAACAACTCAAAAAAATTTTTGACTTTTTATTGAACCAGTGCTTTATTTAGAATCTGCAATCCTTTCTATAATGAAAAGATTTTAGATATGCTTCTGGTAGCGATGTTTCGTTTTCTTCTCCACACTAAGACATTTAGGATCTCCTGCAATCTCCATGTTATGTTTATAATATCGTAAATCAACACGACCAATTAACAGCCCTGTTATGACTTTCGCCTCTTTTTTATTAAATTTGAGGAAATACACTTTTCTCCTGGGATTTATATTAGTTCCCATGAGTGTTTTAGTTTGTCCAGTTGCCTACAGCCCCTAACGCTTACCACTCCTTTTGGTGCTCTGCTGTCAATCACTGTTTGAATTCCAGGGCCAAGCATTTATCAGAAACCCCAATAGGAGGCTCAGGTCCAATAAATTGTTTCCTAGCACCTACTTTACCTAGTTCATCCGCTCTATCAGTTCCACTGGTGGATTCCAATGAATCCACTGTGACCAGGGACCCAGAGAAGAGTAACGCGGTTAATTCCAGCTAGTTTATTGAGTGCTTCATGGCAATCAACGACCAGCTATGATGTTTCAAGTTGAAAATCGCTGCCTTGCTATCTTAGAGGATAAAAATAATTTTATCTTGACAAATTATTAGGCTCTCAACAGCACCATAGAATATCGCCATTATTTCGAATTGTAATAGAGTAACAGTGGATTCTAACTTATACGAGAGGCATGGTAGGCTCCTGCTCCGACTCCAATTTCCATTTTTGATCCATCTGTATACCAGATATCAAAGGCATAAAATGGGGATTATTGAAGATGTTAAACGCCGTAAGCGCAGAGTCATGCTCAGGCAATCTGGAAACAGAACCTCCACGAGGTCCCCGCTGGTAGTGCACGAGGTCTATTCTTGCTAAACGCTCTTCGGGGTTTTTATCGAGATCAGTACGACTGCAACTAACTGCTTCTCCATTTCATCGTGCACTAGTCTTCTTGCATTCCGAGCATGGCATCGTCTATCTTGCTAAAACAAGGAGTTCTACTCCTAAAGTGCCCACTTGAGTTATCACATTCCCCAAGTTACATTCAAGTTTGTAAACATTGTCAGATCTTTCCTTTTTTTCTACCTGCCTATTGTGAATGAACAAGACCAAAAAAAAGTTCTAGAAGTTGCTGAAGATTCATTATATTATGGGCCTGAAATAGACGATTCACTGTAAGTTGAAAAAAACTTTACTATGAGTAAAGTGTTACTGAACCTTTTTTTATAGACGCGTTTTTCTCAAAACTGTGTTTTTAAAGTTGGTGAGCAAGATTTCTCGAAAACGGTTGAACCGATCAGTCTCAGATTATCTCAGGATCATCTATTATATTAACTAAAAATTTTTGCTTTTTTAATTTTAGATGATCCAGTTCAGAAATATCCTGCTCACCACAAGATGCTTTGCTTTGGAGGAGCTTCCGCAAATTCTTTATAGAAGTTTTAAAAAAATTGTTTTTATAAATAAAATATGTCAAAATATAGTTCAAAGTTCAAAGTAAAACATACTTTTAAAGTTTAGGTGATTCTGCAGAAAAATTTTTTTGGGCGTTTTAAAATCCATTCATTTATTTAAAAGTTATAGCGGTTCGAAAATTATTTTGGTAAAAAGTTTGACCCCTGATGGCAACCCCGCATTACACGGACCTAAAATCATGTTTTTTCTTTTAGTTTTAGATTTACTAAAAATATATATAATTTCCGCAAATAAAATTAAGCACTTTTTTTTAATGTGGCTTTTTTCAGAGAAGGACTCATATTAGATACGCATGTTTTAATTTTTAAAATGTGAATTAAAAAATTATAAGTGATTGTACAATGAAATCTAATAAAACTATTTTCAGTCAACATAAACTATATCGATAAATAATTTTGCACTTTTTTTCTAATTTATATTTCCGATCATTATTTAAGATAAGATAAATCTATTACCTACAACTCTTGTTACAATGAAAATAATTATTTATGTAACATCTCATGAGTCATTAATTAGAGAAATAAAAGACATAAATAATTATGTAACACCTACCAGATTGTCCAATGACATTAAATTTTATAGAAAAATACTCCTCGTGACCGGTAAGCAATTGTTGTTCATTTTCGTAACGACCTTCGCTATTCAATTGTTGCTTGTCCGCTGTCCAAGAAGTATTGGCCTCTCCTTTCATCTTCACACATATTCCTAAAATATATAAATGAAATTTAATCATTTCCTATTTAGAAATTTATTTTAAATTGATTACTTGTTTTGAATTATAGGAATTATTTCTGATATCTATTTCTTATTTTCAAAAAATCTATTTTTTGTCATTAAGTAATTTGGTTCATATTTTACATTTATTATTTCTGTATAAAGTTATAATTTTTAAAAATGTTTGAATATCATAAATTTCATCGCTTTTAAAAACAGTAACATTTATAAAATATATATATAATTATTGATTACTGAAAATAACCGAAAAATCAGATTTTACGAAATTATTTTTTATGTATTTTAAGAAAGTGAAAGCATTATGGAACTAATAAAATTTTACAATTCGGGGCTAATTCTAGAATTTTATTGTTTTTTGCTACTTCCGACAGTTCAGTAGGAGGGAATTCAGCAAATAGAAAACTGTTCATGTGTACCAGACAATAATATATTTTTAGATTGTAAAGTCTTATATTGTTTGTTCATTGAATTAAACGGAACTATTAAAGTTCCGTTAAAAAATAGGTGACTACGCTTTTTTCTGTAATTTTACAATAATTATTATTATAATATTAAAATCAATAAAAATAAAAAAATAACGATTATAATAGTAATGAAAATGAGAATTTAATAAAAATGATCATTTTTATTAAAAAAAAAAAGAAATTACATATTATTAGTAAATTTTACTAATTCAAAATAGCAAAAATTATAAGTCACTCTACTTCAAATTAATAAACATCTTTACTAATTCAAATTAGGAAAGTAATTAATTAAACAATTATTATGTATGGAACTCGATTTGATGGAAAAAATTCATTTTCATTATAACTTGTATTTTTGTAAATAATATTTTTAATTTTTAATATAAATTTTTATACAGTATTTTTTATAAATTTTAATTTTATAAATTTTTTATTTTATAAATTTTAATTGTCTTGAGCGGGGGTAGTAATTATTTTTAAAAATAAAATAAAATAATTTTTTTTTTATTTAGCAAGCTGAGAGGCAATTATTCCAAATTGAAATTTAATTAGAAAATTTAAACAAAATAAAATAGAAAAAATGTGTTTTTCCAAAAATAATAATAACATACCACGAATTTTTTTTGGAGAATCCAAAACTAAAAGAATTCGTCCAGTGACATTTTGTCCCGGATAATAAGTTTTCCAGGGATTATCGAAGAGAATTTTAAAATCTTTTAATCCCATATTTAAAAGTTTATCACTTAACCGGTCTATAAATTATCGTTGTCTTATATATCCAACACACTGTTTTCGCACCGAATTTTGCATAACATAATTTGTATTATTGTTTATTATTTTTAAAGTGTAAAATTTTTTAGATTACATTCCGTAGGTATTAAAGTTGCATTTTTATGTAAAAATAAAATCAGTCTCAATATACTTGCAGTTCTTTTAATTTAGAATTGAAAACTAAATAAATTTTCAATGCTTTACACTATAATATATCTGTTACTAGCAATGTAACTATGAAGCGACGAGTTAGCCGTGTAAGACTTGGGTGAGGGTCTTTTCTCTTTTTCTGCGCATACTCTGCAAGTTTACTTCATGACGTCAGTCAGCCTAGTGATAAATAAAATGTATTCTCACTTAGCACAGCTAGGCATGAAAAGATGAGGCAAAAGTGATGATACATTGACGTCACTGACCGCTCTCAAAAATTCAAAAATTTTATATTTTTTTATAATTTTATTCATTAAAAATTTATGTAAAATTTTTTATAAATTTAAATGCATTTGTTGTACTTTTCTGTTTAAATGCTTTTCAAACAACAATAATAATAATAAACAAGAGCCTATAGCCTAATATGACTACACTGATAAAATAAATGTAAAAAATTTAAAAATCAAAATCTACTAATAATAAAGTAATAAAAATGGATTATACAGAAAAGACGATAAAATAAATGTAAAAAATTTAAAAATCAAAGTCCACTAATAATAAAGTAATAAAAATGGATTATACAGAAAAGATGATTTGCATTTAAAAAAATGTACCAACAAAAAAGGAACATTTATTTGTCGAGTACTATATTTAACTTAATAATTCTTTTATCAGATTGTCTTGGGTTATTGAGAGAATATTACATCAGGGTGAATCTGATTTAATATCGACATTAAATTTCCCTCTATAAATTAAATAATCCAATCGGTGTGTTCAATAATAAAGGGAAAAAATATTTTTCCTCCCTAGCAATAAATATTTACCCTACAAATCACTTGATTCATATGTTATTTTCATATTATTTAAAATTAATAATTTGACCCTTTTGCCACAAATGGCATAGTTTTTTTAATTTGAAAAAGAATTATTTTTTCTAATTAAATGTTCTTTTTGAAATTAAAAAAATCAGGAAGAATTTTGTAAATCATTTTGTAATTTTGTTTTTAAGACGTATTGAAACAAAAATTTCTCCTCTTTCAAATATTTATATAGAGTTGAGTTTCCAGATGTTTGACCCCAGAAGTATAGAAAATGGTTTCAAAAAAAAAGAAAAATTGCAAAGGAATATAAAATTTTGAATTTGCTTTTAGAGGAAATTATTAATAATTTCTTTTCTCGACCCTCGGGGGGATAATTTATTTTGCTATCATGTAATTTTTTTTAAAAAGCAATTTTCTGAAAACTGTCATATAAGTGACATTGCGTCTCAAAGAATATCTTTTCTTGATGGAAAGCTCGCGCGCAAGCTCAGACGGCCTATTGATCCGTTTTTCCCAACATTCTATATGAACTTGTGCCAGTGCAAGGTGTACGCTCTAAAATTCAAGTCCTGTTTTTCTGAAAACTGAAATAATAAATAAATTTTTCGGGATAAAGTGTCTCCCAGGTGAGAAACGACGACGATGGGGGGCTTTGACGGAGGGTTTCTCGATGACGGCCCGAGCATCAAACCTGTCGAGCCCGGTGAGTCTATTGATGATACTACATTATACCAACCGGTTGATACCATGACATAAAAATGTAAAAAGTGGCACATCGATTTTATCTAGAGTAAAATAAAACTTATGTTTTTTTTTAAATTCTGTAATCTCTGCTTTTTCAATATTTAGTAAGAATCATATCTTAAATTCATGAAAACAAAAATCAAAGGGTCTAGGATCTTGTATTCCTTGATGAGTCATAGTTTCAAAGGAGTTTTTCAATATGTTTTATTTTTCACTCTGAATTAAATTTTCAACCTCTTGGACAATATTTCATAAAATCGATGGAAAATTAATTTGGAAAAGATAAATTATTTCTGTTCATAGTGTTTTGTTTTTATGGGATTATTTCATTTGGAAGGCAATGACACATGGAAAACTCCAGTCGCCATTGCAATATTACACCCACCCATTCACCCTTTTCTGTATATGTCGAAGGTGCATGTCATCCGCATGAATCTTTTCACAAGGCATTGTTTAAAATTCAGTTCGAATAGAAGAAAAATATTCCTTTTTCCCAGGGAGTTTTTTTACATTTTTTTAATAAATCTATTAAACAATTTTTAATGGAATTTTTAGTCACTTAAATCAGGTATGAATGAGACTAACTTAGCCTCATTCATACCTGCTTTAAGTGACTGAAAATTCCATTAAAAATTGTTTAAAGGGAGAAGCAGACCCCTTCCCATTTAGCCTGGCTAAGAGAAGTAGGAAGGGGGCCGCTTCTCCCTTTCTCGTTCTCTCTAAAACATTTACGTTCGAGGAACGTTCCTAAAACATTTCATGTCTGACAAATTAACAAATTAACATTTTAAGAACGTTTCTTGAAGTTTAAACGTTTTTAAAATGTTATTTTGGCAGGCATGAAACGTCTGAGGAACGTTCCTTGAACGTCAATGTGTTTTTTGCCCATATACTGGGTACCCAGATGAGTTTTAAGGAAAAGCAACCAACCTTCTTAAAAATTGAAGAAAGAATTACCCCAATTCCTCATTCATAAAAATGTTTACAGTTTCAACAGCGGCTCTGATAGGAGCATGCCTCGGCACGTCGGCCGTCGTTTGCGCCGTGGTGATGACCTGGTGGCTCTGTCGACGACGCAGAGAGCACACAAAATTAAATTCCGACAAGTCCCTGGCATTTAGACCACCCCATCGAAAACCCACGGCTGTCAAGAGTCCAGGCAGTACAACTCACTATCTAAAGAAAAGTCCAAGTCCCACTGGACCGGCGAAAAGTCCTCCCGGCTCCGGTGGTCAAACTCCAAGTCCCCCGGGATCTCAACATTCCCAATCTAATGGCCATGGACCACAGTCCCATTCGCCCCAAGATTCGAGATCGCCTATTCAAACGCCGTCTGGAGAAACGACAATGGCCATTGAAAATGAAAGGGACAAGGCAGAATTGGAGAATAGCGAGAAGGTGGACAGGGGTAATGGAAACTTCTCTGATATCGGGAAAGATGGTCTGGGACAATTGGTTTTTAAATTACGCTATCTCAGCGAACAAAATGCCCTGGCTGTCACTGTTGTCATGTGTAAGGGCTTACCAGCCAGGGGTCAGCATAGTGGTAGCAGTGATCCTTACGTGAAACTACAACTCCTGCCGGACAAGCAACATAGGACCAAAACTCGAGTCTTGAGAAATACCCGAGATCCAGTTTATGAAGAGGACTTCACTTTCTTTGGAATCTCGAAGAGTCAGCTTCAAGTAATGCGATTGATCCAATAAAAATTTTTACATTCTCCTCAAATTTTTAACGTTCATTGCAAAGTCACTTGATTGCCGTATTGTTAATTTGCCGAACACTTTGCGCCTAAAATTGATTAAGTTTGGAATTTATTGCAGACGCATAAATATTATATACGTAGAAGTTAAAACCTAGGAACCATAATTTCTAGAATCTTTTAAAAATATTTCTTAAATTTTCCTTGAGAATATTCCTGGATGGCTTTTCAGGAATGTTTTTAAAGTATTTAAGATTATTCTTTTAATATTATTTTTACGGTGTGCGAAAACCTATATCGGTTAGGATAGTAGTAGGACAGTCAGATGAAATCTTAGATAAATGATTATGTAATTTACAGCAATTTTCAATTTGAGTAGATTTGAAAAAAATGTCCACCATTTTGAATATTGAAAATTATAAGAGGAAACATTAAGAGGATATTAGAAGAGTATTATTTTTCCTCTAAATATTAGATTACTTTTTTTAGGGTGCAAGAAATATTTTATAAGAACATTCGGGCAATCCTTATGTTGGTATATTCTTAAAAAATGTGTTAAGAAAATATCCAAGATTTATTTTAAGAAAACACTTCTATTATAAATAATCGGAAAACATTCATTTGGTTTATTTAAATCAAGGCGAAAATTTATCCAATTTCTATGTGAACTTCTTATACAATTTATTTATTATCATTATAGATATTATTGGATTTGGTATGCCATTATTAAAATTAATGAAAAAAATATTATTTTCAGAAAATAAGCCTCTACTTTGTTATCATGAGCTTTGACAGATACTCACGAGATGATGTAATTGGCGAAGTAATTTGCCCCTTGGTTTCGGTGTCCGATCTGGAGGAGGCGATGAATCGACAAATATCTTTATGTCGGGAAATATGTCCTCGAAGTTTAAAGGTACATTTATTTAGGATATTCTAAATTAAGCTATTAGTTAAAAATTAAATTAAATTTAGAATTTCATTTCGTTATCAAAAGCTATAGGTATTAATTAAATACGGGTACTCAAATAATGTTAGGAATATTCAATACCAATTTCTAAAATAACAATTAAACATTGTTTTTCAGATACAATCTCAGGGCAGGGGAGAATTATTGGTGTCATTGTGTTGGCAACCAGCGGCAAGTAAATTGACAGTAGTAGTATTAAAAGCTCGCAACTTACCGAAAATGGACGTCACTGGATTGGCAGATCCATATGTGAAAATTTATCTTCTCTACAATTCGCAACGCATCGCCAAGAGGAAGACCCATGTGAAAAAACGCACTCTTGATCCAATTTTCAATGAATCATTCGTTTTTGAAATACCGAATGGCACCGAGGGACTCAGCAAGACTAGTCTTGAGTTTGCTCTTCTTGATTGGGACCGTGTCACTAAGAATGAGGTAAGTGGAGAATCTTTAAATAATAATAATTATTATTATTACCATCATCATCAATCATTTTATATACCGTTACACTCTCTAAATTTGAATCAGCGAAAAGTCGCTGATTCACCAGCCCAGAGTATGCAGCTGATGAAATAGCGTATATACACTGATGAAACAGCGTATATGCACTGATATTCCAGCGTATATACGCTGTTTCATCAGCTGCATACTCTGGGCTGGTGAATCAGCGACTTTTCGCTGATTCAAATTTAGAGAGCATGTAGTAGTTGTATCAACTTGGAAAAAACAGTATAAGAAATTGATTTGATTTATCCTTCAAAAAAAATTCCTAACTTTTACAATGCTTAACAGTTTTTGGAGTTGTTGACTACTTATACCCACTCTGATAGCATTTAATCTTACTGCAAGCTTGCGGCAAGCTTATACAACAAGCTTCCTATGGGTGGATCATTTCAAGCTTGGAAAATTTGCCGAAAGCTTACTGCAAGATTACTATAAAAAAATAGACGTAATCTGTTAATATCACCATTTGCCGAATTATGAGGCCACCCTTTTTTAAATGTGCAGTCAACTTGAAAATTTTAAAAATGGCTTATTCAAAGGGCACAATTAACTATTGGAATTATTAAAATTCCGGATTTGTAATCAGTAACCCTAAAAATACTCAATTTATAAGTTTTAGAAGCGTTATTAATCTATTTAAGGCTGGAGTCCATTTCAAATTATGCAAGCCCAGATGCACATAATAAAGGCAAATCAACACAGTAAATTGTGAGGGATTAAAAAGTCGAAGTCTTAGTCAAAGTCTTAGTTAAAGTCTTGGTCCAGTCAAAGTCACAGTGAAAGTCTTACTCAAAGACTTAGTCAAATAATCGATCTATCACTAAGATTAAGAATTGGACTCGGATTTTGACCAAGGCTTAGACTAAGACTCAGATTATGACTTTTGCTAAGACTAAGAATAAGGTTAATACTAAGACTTGTACATTGACCAAGACTTGGACTGTGACTTTGACTAAGTCCAAGACTTTGGTTACGACTTAGACTATGAGTTCTACTAAGACCAAAATTAATACTAAGACTTGGACTTTGACCAAGACTTCTACTTTGACTAAAACCAAGACTCGGACTTGACCAAGGCTTTGGTTACGACTTAGACTATGAGTTTCACTGAGACTAAAATTAATACTAAGACTTTGACTTTGACCAAGACTTCTACTGTGACTAAGACCAAGACTTTGACTACGACTTAGACTATGACTTTTAATAAGACTAAGATTGATACTAAGACTTAGCCTTTAATTAAGACTTTGACTGAGGCTAATACTTTGACTAAGAGTTAGACTTAGACTTAAACTTAGACTAAGACTTTGACTACGACTTAGACTATGACTTTGACTAAGACTAAGATTAATACTAAGACTTGGACTTTGACTAAGACTTAGACTTAGACTTAAACTTAGACTAAGACTTAGACTTTAACTAAGACTTTGACTAAGATTTTGACTAAGACTTTGACCAAGACTTTGACCAAGACTTTGACCAAGACTTTAAATAAGACTTTGACTAAGACTTTGACTCAGATCTAGACTAAGACTTGGACTTAGACTTTGACTAAAACCTTGACTAAGACTTTGACAATGACTTACTTTACCATAGTTAATCTTAAAATTAGATTCACTTTGATTTTCTTTGATAAATCGTCGACTTGGTTTTGATTTGAAGTAAAATTTCATTCATATAGTAAAAAATAACACCAAAATGGGTTATTTTAATCCTTTCCGGTGTTAATTTAATCGTAGAGGGATTAAACTGTTGCAGATTATTTTAATCCATTCTGGTGTTATTTTAACAACTGATAAAAGTTTGCAGCAAGGTTGCTGTAATTTGTCAAACATTTTTCTTAAATTAAAAGAAAATTTATTTTGAGTTTTTATTTTTTTAATTTGAAAATCTTTCTGCATGTCCATTCTTACTAATTATGTCTTAGTTGTTTTATTTTGGAACTTAAGATTTATATAAAATATTTGGGAAATAAATTTGGGGGACGGGGAATTGAATCTGGGTTCGACGGATGCTAATCAAATCAATGATGATGCTAATCAATCACTGGACGCTTTAACGTCCAGTGATACATATATGTTGTACCATAAAACAATACAATACAAATCCTATCTTTATATATAGTGTTAAAATATTAAGGTGTCGAAGGATATCTGGAGGATTTCGGGGCCGCTGATAATGTATTTGATATCAGATTTTCAAAATTCAAAATGGCGGATCCAATATGTCGGAACGAAAATTTTAAATTTAATAGATTTTTATAAAACTTGGTATCTAGGGGTTTTCGGGGTCGCTGATTACGAATCTGATGTCAGATTTTCAAAATTCAAAATGGCGGATCCAATATGGCAGCACAAAAATTTTTAATTTGATGGATTTTTATAAAACTTTGTATCTAGGGGTTTTAGGAGTCGCCGAAAACGAATCTTATAGCAGATTTGCATAATTCAAACTGTCAAATTTAGATATATTTAATAAATTTTAGAAACTGTATTAGTTGTTTCATGATTTTTAGATGCATAAATTCGTAAGCAGCGACCCCAAAAATCTATCAAATTTCATAAAATTTGATGAAAAAAAAATTTGGACGTTAAAGGGCTAAACAACCAACTAGAGGGGGAAAAAATCTTGCTCTTAACATGAACAAATTTGTTGCGAGGTTGTTGCAAATTTGAAGCAAGCTTGATGCACTTTTTTAAAAATATTTCATAATAATAAATATTTTGAAAAAAATTGACCTTTTTCTCATTTTTTCCCGCCATACATAATTAGGTATAGATAGTATTCCACCTTTAATTTGAAATTATAAACCTCTTTTTCACATTTAAATTCAAAATTATTTTCCATCAATGATCATTATTCTAGGTCATTGGAAGATTGGATGTCGGTGGTCCAAAGTGTCAAGGATCGGCTCTCAATCATTGGAATGAAGTTTGTACATCGCCAAAACGCCAAATTGCTGATTGGCATAAGTTGAGGGAATAGAAAACCAAAAAGGAACAAAAAATTACATAATTACTCTCTATCAGTTTCGTATCAAAAAAGAAAATCGCATCAGCGCCCAAAACATTTCTCCATATCTAAAAAAAACCCATGAAATCGAAGGGAATTTTATCTCGTGGGGAGCACAGATTAATAAAAAAAAAGGTGTCTTATTTTATAAACCTATACTTATACTCATCGTTGTGTAAACCGATATTAAGGCTTCAAGATCTGTGCAGCTTCCGATTGTATAATAGATAGCATAATATTGAAAACCAAGATCGACAGGAGAATAAGAAAAAAAAATGGAGAAGAACGTCGACTTCCAAGAAAAAATGCCTAACACTATGAAAGGTTTCGACGTCACAGATATTTCTAAAAGTAAATAAGAAATAGCAAATTCTCTTGAGAGATTTGAAAGGATTCACCATCATCAGGAAGCAATCATATATTTAAAAAAAAATAAAATTTGTCTCGAATTTTCATAAGTTTTTCCATTTTCGATGAAAATTATTACTGAAAAAATAAATTTTTAGAAAATATCATCAGATTTATGGAAAATTTTTTCGGTATTTATTTCTATTAAAATTAATAATTATTGTTAATAATTTTGTTTTCTAATATGAAATTCATTTTCAAGTATTTTATTAAATTAAAAAAAATAATTTTCTTCTCTAATGGATTAACTACTATTGGTGTCTTGTCAAATAGAAGTTTCAGCAAAATAACGAAACATCTTTAAATTCCACTAGTCATTGGAATAATGTTGTAAGAGATATTTAAAACTTTTATCACTCGCTGTTAAAACAAAGAAAAATATATAGTAATCAACGCGATGCAAAAAAAAAAAAAATTCTAGTCAATGCGAATTGATTATAAAATGGAAAAAAAATAATTTCCAAAGTGTCACTTCATTACTATATCTCTATAACCAGCAGAGTATTACTTTCTCCTTAGTGAGAATCAATTCTCTTCCCCTGTTAGTAAAGATAAAATTAAGAAGAGACGAATTTTCAATTTAAACTTAAGATACACACATGTGTTTTACTTGGTAAGTGATAATCGTTCATTTATAAGACGATTATCAATTATGGAGAAATTTTTAATGGCAAAACAAACTCAATATTGTCACTTTTAAAAAAAAATTTAATTTCTTGAAATTATTTATTTTACTGCGCTTTTCACGACAATTTCTTATTTTCATCACTGAAGACAAGATTTCCTTTAAAATATAATTTATACCTAATATTTTTAAAAAATCTGTTATAAATTAATTTAAATTATAGGAATAATATTGTCAGTATTATCACCTTCTCATAAAATGAAAAACTTCTTTTCTATTCATTATTATTATTAATGTTAAATATAACTTTAAATTAAAGTGATAAATATTGAAGGTAAATGGGAAAAAAATTTGTCCTCCAAGTACAAAATTGGAAAAATAGCAACTTTTTAAAGGTTGAAACTTTCCATTCTTGGATACATAGACAACCTTTTTCTGTAAATATGTAAGTGATATTGAAAATTATTCATTTGTTAATTTATTTCTTAATATATATATTTATTGACACTGTTTTCTAATCTCGTAGGGAATTAAGAGTTTTTAAGTTTTTAAAATATTATTTTTCCCTCTTAATATTTTTGTTCTGTAAATCTTCAAAAAAAAAAAAAATTGTCGCATGGATCAAAATATTTAAAAAATTTTAAATAATTTGGAGAACAATTTTTCTAATGCAAATTAAATAAAATTTTGGAATAATTTTAAGAAGAATTTTTCGTATATTTTTTTCTTCTTTTGTTCGCACACGAATGTCAATTTTTATAGCAACGCATCTTACGAAATAAACACTCTTGTGTATTTTTTATATAGACAAGTTTTCGCAATTTTTTGCAGAAATAATAGATTTATGTCACAGGGACAAAATTTTGATTTTTTTTCTGATAATTTCAATTCTGTAATTGGAAAACTGGATAAATTACAATTGTACAGAAGCTAATTAATTTTAGTACTATTTTACAATTTGAATTTATTTTTCTATTATTAATATTATTATTATTATTATTTATTATGCTTTAAATGGTAATTAATATAATATGGTAAATAATTAATATATGAAGAGAAGAAATAGATTTTCTATTGGAGAGGGACGAGTCACTCTAGTCATTGTATGGTATAAGGAAATAAAAGTACCTTTGAGGGAAACAAAGCTGAAAGTATAAGTCGAACTTTTAAATGTAAATCATTAAAAAGACTTTAATGGATTTTATCGAATAACGATTAAAGAAAACAAAATACTGAATTATATCAATAGGCATAATTACAAAAAAAAAAAAAAAATTTATTGAAGTGCAAAAAAAATGTATTGTAATCAAGAGTGTCGATTTACCTACTTAATTAATTGCTAATAATAAAAAAAATACAAGGTACGACTGTAAGAAGTTAACGAGTAGAAATAATTACTTTAGGTAAAAATTTGTGCTTCGTCTTTTTTGCTTTTACAGAGTTCGAAATACGTAAAAGGTAAAAGAGATTTAACGATGAAAAATTCAGCAAAATAACTAAACAGAAAATCTTACTCTGCAAAATCACAAGAATAATTCAGCTGTATCACTCAATGATTTTTGAACTGGAATTTTCAGGAAGCATCAAACCATAAATAGAATATTTCATTATTGTACCTATTAGTGATGAATATTTGTCAAAATTATAAAAGAATCATTTGTTTATATTTATTTTAATCAAGAAATAATTAAAAAAATTCCGAATTCGATAGTTTTTTATATAAAAAAATCCAGAAATTCTAAAACATACTTTCATCGTAATGATTTGTTGAATTTCTTCCTAAAATTCTACAATACACAAGAATCAATACGAACTGTAAACTGTGTGAACAGATTTTAAGGCTGTGCGGTCAATAAAGAATTTAAAAATACATTGTTTTTGTTTATTTATTATTATTATTATTTTTATTTATTTGTTTATTTTGTTTTTGTTTTTTTTTGTTTATTTTTTTACTTTTTTTTATTTTGCCTTTTTAATTATATACTCTTCAAAAAATGTTGGTTAAAAATTTTAAATAATTTTCTTTAAATAACAATTTTTAAAATTAGTAGCAAAAATAATTAAATTGCCTGCCACCAAAAATGTTTTTTTGTACATTTTGTTGAAATTTTTAATTTTTAACATAAAATTATTTTCAAAAATTTTAATAAAATTCTTATTAAAATTTCAATTATTTTTAAAATTTTTCCTCATTTCAATGATTTTCAATATCTACTATTTTAATAAAATTACGCATAAGAATACAATTATTTAAAAAAATTTTTTGATAAAATTCTTCGCAAAAATTCAATTATTTTTAAAAATAATAAAAATTTCACAGGAATTTAATTAACACATTTTTTTAAAATTTCTTCACAATAATTAGATTATTTTCTTAAATAATAAAAGTTTTTTTAGGAATTCAATTATTTTTATAAATAATAAAACTCATCGCAGAATTTCAATTATTTTTAAAACAATTTTAATGGAACTTCTCGAAAAATGTAATTATGCTTAAAAATTTTATTAAATTTCTTCAAAAGAATTCAGTTATCTAAAAAATTGATGATAAAATTCTTTATAAGAATTAATTTTTGAGAAACATTCAATAATTCAATAATAAATGATTTATTTTTGTATTTAAATAATGGAATTTCGTCAAAAGAATTTAATTATTTAAAAATTTGTTAATAAAATTCTTTATAAGAATTAAATTTTAAGAAAATTTCAATTATTCAATAAATAATTTATTTTAGTTTATATTCTAAGTTTGCATTAATTTTCTGAATTCTTATTTTATGACTGTTTATAATTTGTCACTCCAACCCGAAAGTAAAATAAAGTAATGAATAAAAGCGAATAATTTTTTTATTATAATAAATTAAATTATAGTAAATTATTATTTTAGTAAAAAAATAAATAAAAAAAAAATTACCTATGAAGACATAAAAACACAAAAGCATACCCAAAAGTCTAACTTCAGATGTGGACAAAAAGAATATATGAATTTGTTGATTATTATAGTTAATTAATTAATAAAATAACAAATTTCGTTTTTTAAAAAAAAATGGAAAAGAACTTTAAGAAGTTAAATTTAAAAAATCGATTATTATTTCTATTGATTAAAAAAATAAAGTAGGTAATAAATTGTAGACAAAACAATTTTATGAAGTAGAAAAATATTTTATTAAAATTCAAGCTTTTTTTTACAATTTTTTTAGCAAAATTTATGTGACAAAATTTTCACAAGGAATGCTGCGTTGCAACAGTTAGATTGTTTCATCAATAGACTTTTGTTTTAATAAACTATTGTTAAAGTTAAACACAAAAGTAAGAAAATATTTATACATTCAAATAATTATTTACCATTATTTATCAAGCTATACAATAAACATAATATTAATAACTTCACATGACGCTCAATTATTAAATTGATTCTTTCAAACCATTCTCATAAATAAAACAGCATTCATACTATTTTTCCAAATTATTTGTTAAAAATATTAAAAACTTTACAAAACTTTAAAAAATATTACAAAACATTAAATATACGATTTTCTTTAAAAAGCATCAGATAGTTTATAATAAGTAAATGAAGAATCAATTAACGTATAAGAACAACTGTTACAGTCTAAATTGATTTTTTTCGTAATTTCCATTAAAAACTCTGAAAAACTTTAAATTTTATCAATTAAAATCAAAATGGTTTCAGTAAAAGTGAATTTTATTTTTAAAAATTTTGAAGATTAAAAGTTACATTTACGTAATTTAGTAACAGAATGTAGCTTCTAATGGTTCAAAATTTTAAAATACAAGTTGTTTACATTTTCACTAAAACAATTTTTCATTGAAAATTCTTTAACATAAAAATATAAAGATGAAATAACTTTTCGAATCTTTTTACAAGTCTGACTGATCGAGAATAAATTCAATTCATAATTTGTCATTTTTTGATAAATAAATAATATAATTCACGAGTTAAAAATTCTCAAAAAAAAACTGAAATATATATATATAAAATTACAAATATTTTACAAAATAATTAAGATCTTTCTAAATTGTTGTCACCCTGAACATTATTAATTGACAAATTATGATAGAAATGTATTCGCTACCAATCGGCGATACCTTTTGTTTTAAGTGCTTGTCCGATTTCTTTCTAAAGTTCTCAGTAATTATTAATCTGGCACTTGTTTTTTTACAATTATTCACGTATAATTTAACTTTTAAGCGTAAAATATTATTTTCAACTTACATAAACAAGTTGATAGATCTTTGTATTAAAGTTTAATAGCTTTAAATTTGTAGTTATCAGCCTTTCTTGTTAAAATTATATACTTAAAGTACATATTTGAAGATTTGAAATTCTTCAATTCGTTAAAAAAGGAATATTTTATTTAAACATGTATTTTCAAACAAATAAAAGAAAAGAAAAGAGAAACAATTATACACGAGAAATGACGATTATAAATCGAAAATTACGTGTTCAGATATAAATGTACATAAATATCGAGTTTTAACTCAAAAATATAACAGATAAATTTTTCACAACAAAAGGCATAGGTACATGAGAAGTGGCATAACCAAATTGTCAACTTGCTCCGTTCTTGTCTCAACAATAGAAACTCCTATTACAGCAAACGTACTTCTAAACAAGTGTCTCTTATCTTCAATTAAACCTGAAAATAAATAAAGAGACGTTATTTTCTTTAAATTTTCTTAATTTAAGCGATTCAGGCTGGAGTCCCATGGTAGCGTTTTGCGTTGCGTTTTGTAACTAGGCAATGAGTGCAAATAGAGCAAACCTATATCTGTATCTCTCTCACACTCATGGCCTAGTTACAAAACGCAACGCAAAACGCTACCATGGGACTCCACCCTCAACCAATTCAACTATTTTTAATTTTCGAATGAAGTTTCTCGAAAAAATAATTCAATTATATTCAGAGAATTAAAGAATATAGTTCTGAGAAATTCAATTATTTTGAAAAATTTAAATAAAATTCATTAAAAAAAATTTTGATAACATTCTTTACAAGATTAAAAATAATATTGAATTACCACAAGGAGGGACCCCGAAAGGGGACAATACTCATGAGGGTGAAGTCCCATGGCAGCGTTTTGCGTTGCGTTTTGTAACTAGGCCATGAGTGCAAATATAGCAAACATATATCTCCATCTCTCTCACACTCATTGCCTAGTTACAAAACGCAACGCAAAACGGTGCCATGGGACTTCATCCTGACGGTGTCTCTTTGAACACCACGGATTTGGGGGGGGGGCAAAACAAAAATCAGCTGACAAGCTATGAAGCAAATCAGTTCCTGGCTATTTCTGGAATTTTTAAAAGCGTGCGTCAAGCATTCAAGCGCCAAAGGAACGTCAGTCGTGACATCCAGGATGGCTTCACGGTTTTGGAAGGTGCGTTCGATATAATTCGCAGTAATCTGCGTTTTATCCCCGAGCCATTTAAAGACCAAGAGCCACAAACTCCAACTGTGGGAACTCTACGGCAGACGAAGAGAGCTACTGCAACTCTAGATAGTGCAGCTACAGGCCGTAATAAGGCAAAAAATGTTAATAAACGCCCCAGGGAAGGTGTAAGCCCAGATGTGAGTCCACAACAAGCGACTCAAAGCGAAAAGAGGATTAAGCGAAAGGATGCTCCACAGCTTAATTCTATGTCGCTAGTTGGATCTAAAGAAACGCCCTCAAGTAGTCCAAACAAGACGTATGCTGATACCGTCTTAAAAAACGGAACAGACGATGGGGACGATTTTAAAGTTGTTGAAAAGAGGAAGAAACGGGCTCCAAGAAAAAAGCCCTCAGGTGAGAAAAAAGAGTTCTCGAAGCCCCCTTCGAAGCTCAGCACTGAGGGAAAAGCTGGGTAAACCCGACCTGACCATAGAGTACCGACTTTTGCCGCGCTACAGAGGAACTAAGGTAGCTCTGGCCCGCCTGACAAAGGCAGAAAGTAACACTCTGCTTAAGTTTGGTAGCATAAAAATCTGGATGTCATCATCATTGGCGATTTTAACGCAAAGTTGCCAGAGTGGGGTGAGACGAGACTCGACAAGAGAGGAATTCTGATTTGACAAATGATCTCCAGGAACGACCTATTAGTGGTAAACCGGGGAAATACATGGACGTTTAGACGAGGTGCGATCGGATTGATTATAGATCTAACGATCGCATCGTCTGAAATATTGAGCCGCATAAGCGACTGGCGGGTCTCTGAAGAATATACTGCAAGTGACCACCAGTACATTGAGTTCTCAGTCTTGATGGGAGACACACGAGGAGGAAAAAGACAGGATGTTCCTAGTCGCAAAACCTCTTCGTGGAATATTAAGAGACTCGACAAGGAGAAGTTCGGCCAGTCCCTAAGAGAAGCCTTCTTAATTAAGGACTTGGGCTGGGTAAGGCCGAACAGTTTGGATATGGAGGTGCGAGCGGTAAGGAACATCATAGTCACCGCTTGCAATGCAGAAGGACATATACCCGATCTAAGGGAGATCTCTTGCTGAAAGAGGCTTTCAAGGAGGCGAAAAAGAACCTCAAAAAAGAGATCCGCAAGTCGCGACGCCGTAGCTGGAAGGACCTAATCAAGGAAGTCGATAAGGACCCGTTGAGTCTGGCTTTTAAAATCGTTACTAAGAAATTAGTGACGAGGCAAAAGACCCCCGGCCTGGACAATCCTGATTGGGTTAGACAGATAATAAAGTCTTTGTTTCCTCCTGCAGAGCCATACCTTAGGATGGACTGGAGTTCCTGCAAAGTCAAAGAGGAAGAACTTTTCACACTTAGTGAATTGAAAAACGCAGGCAAAAGATTGAAAACAGGCAAGGCGCCTGAAATCGATGGGATAAGTAACGAGATCCTAAAGTTGGTTATCGACACTTCACCCCAGATTCTGCTTCGATGCTTAAATCTTTGCCTTGAGAGAGGAGAGTTCTTCCACGACTGTAAGCGACAGAGGTTAGTCCTCCGCAAGATGGAAAGATCTTATCGAGTCGATGAGAAAGAAAAACATGCCGCCTTACTTGTTGGGGATAATGGATAATTATCTTAGCGACAGGTGGGTTATATATGAGGGAGACACCTGCACTCTCAAGGAAGAGATGCTGCGGTGGGCTCTTCAAGGCTCGAGGGTAGGTCCATTTGTCGTCGTGATAGACGGATTCGAGGTCAAGTGGAGTAAACAACTTAAATACTTTGGTGTGGAGTTGGATGTAAGAATAAACTTTCACCATCACATGGCTACGGCGTCAAATAAGGCGATCGAATGTGCGGCTAATTTTTCACGGTTAATGCCAAATGTAGGCGGACCCAGTGAACAAAAAAGAAGACTGGTGACGAGTGTCGCCCATGCTGAAATGCTTTATTCAGCACCAGCGTGGGCCCCATTCCTAAGGAGTAAAAGATGTGTGACCATCTGTGAAAAGATACTGTCGGCGCAGAGATCGATAACAACACGTATCATCTCTGCGTATAAAACGGTATCTACGAGTGCTGTGCAGGTCCTTGCAAGTGTCCCGCCAGCAGATCTTTTGGCGAGAGAAAGAAACTCCTCAGAAGAGGAAATTAGACCTAGCAAGGGCCTGATCCGCAAAGAAGCGAGGCGCAGGCTCACAGATAGATGGCAGGAAAGATGGGATGGTAAGGAAAAGGGTCGATAGACTTATCGCTTTATCCCGGCACTCGCCACCTGGATAAATAGGAAACAAAGTCAGGTTTCCTATTACTTGACGTAAGCGTTTACAGGGCACGGGTGTTTTAACGCGTACCTGTAACGCTTTAAATTACGCGAAGATGAGGTGTGTGCGTACTGCCAGTTCCCTGTGGACAACGCAGAGCACACCCTCTTCTCATGCAACAAGTGAGACTTGGAGAGGCGGGCCATGTTTGAAGGTGTAAACAGTCATGTTATAATCTCGGTTATGTCGAAAAAAGAACTCGACGGCCGCCAAAAAGCGTAATTTAATCAGCTTTTAAATTTGTTTTGTTCCGTATTATCTTAATTTATTCTGTGATTTATTTGTCCTTATACAATTTTAATTTATTTTGTGATTTTTATTTGTCTTTATACAATTTTATCTTTTAACTACATATATCTGTTTACTTTTTATGTTTCTGTTTTTTTTATATCCGTTTACTATTATATCTTTTGACTTTTTACACTTTTTAGCATTTGTTTTTTATTGTTGTGCTGTAAATTCCGCTTAGACATTGAAATGGTTTAAATTTTTTTTTAACTATTGACACAGGAGAACTGCAGAGAAAGAAGAAGGTCGCATCAGCGACAGAGTTGGAGCGCCACCTTCGAAGGCTAATAAGTCTTACGATAGTTCCGAGGGAGGGTAAAAAGAAGGGTTACGGGTTTTAGTGGGTCGGGCTGGCAATAGGTCGCCAGTTTATTAAATTTATTATGTCATTTATTATTTTATTTATTTTTTCTTTAAATATTTCCCAAAATTCTCTAAACAAAAAGATAAATAAATAAATAGGTAATTGAATTTTTATGGCACCCCTGAAAATGTTTTCTTTCTTAATGTGTCGGTGAACATGTTTATAATAACTGACTAAATAAACCATTTATCGCCCTGTTAAAAGAGTACATAATATTTGAGCGCCCCTTTATATACAAAAAAATTTCTTACCAAAACCTGCAAGAATATAAATTAAAACAAGTTGCGACGTAATGCAGGCAATTAAACCCTCCATCGTTTTCCTCGAACCATTCAGTTTATATTTGCCCCAATTGCTACCGACAAAACTAGCAGCCGCGTCTCCAATTCCTACAGTGAGAACACCACTGAGTAACGGCAAAAGTGCTGTGTCGTTGGCTGGCATCCAGAGAGGAAATGATAAACCGCACAGCAAATACAGTGGTGTTAAAGAAACAAATTCATCCTTTTCATCGGCAAATACAGCATACCCTTGATGCAAAATTTTCCCTAAAGGCGGTATATTTAAAAATCTAAACAGCTAAAAGTTTTCAATAATTAATTAACATAATGCAGAGCTAATAGTTTTGACATTTGTATTTAATTTATTTAAACGTACTTCCAACATTGTCAGTAGAGCAAAAGCTGCACCACTTGCTGTGTACAATAAGACAGGCTCCCAAATTAATCCAGCTATAAAAACTATTGATGCCAAAACATGAAAGACTTTTCTATCCGAAGTCGTTGCTTTCGTTTTCAAATTAAGTTTGTGTATTATAAAACACCATGATAATAAAAAGCAGATTGACCAGATGGTCATTAAGAATATCTAAAAAAAATTATGTTTTTGGAAAGGAAACAAATTTTTGTCTCGGACATGAAACATTATTAGCATTATCATCAAATACTTACTCTTGATGGTTTGCTGAAAATATATGAGAATATCCACAGAATTGGACTCCGATCTAACAAAGAATGTAAGGTTGGGAATAACCATAACGCACTTGTTACGAAAATCCATGCGTAAAATTGTTTCGTTTCTCGTAATCGAGGGAAAAGTTTACACACCAAGCAGAGAGACAACACATAAAGTATTCCCACCTGAAAGATATTAAAATGCAAACGAGTTGAAAAAAACTGTTTAGCATCATGCATTATTTATCTTCATATTCTAACAAAGTAATATGTTGCCAGATGTCTTAACTTAAAGACTTTAATTGATAAAGAGATGAAATTTGTTAATTATTAGTTAACGGTCAAATGAAAAAAAAAATGGAACGTTAATAAAAAGGGATCTTTTGGAAAATTTCAAACTCACTTGCAATATTACGGTTGCAATATCATTGTTATGAATTGGTGGTAAATGATATCTAAGGGGGATATTGGTGGCGGCCGATAGTAAGAACAAAACAAGTCCATGCGTCACTGCTGTAGCCTCGCCAACAGTGAAGCAACTGGGAAATTGTGACATCACCTGAACGACACCCCAGGTACTCAAACTTCCAACACTTGAACCCCATGCTACACTCACTAGCAATCCTGCTCTTGATTAATTAAATATCACAGTTTTATTAAATACAGTACCAATTTGATGTTGTCTTAAAATTACATCAATAATTTCTGGTTGGAAAACAAAATAAGGAGCAGACACAAACTTATTAGGCATGTATTTCTTGTTCATAAAGAATCTTACAAAAAATATCAAAGCATAGACTTTTTGAAAAATCTTCTATTTAAAATATGTACTCAATCTTTTAGAATGTATTTCAAATTTTCTTTTTTTTGTTTTAGAAAGTTTTAAAGAAAGCACATCTTTTCGTTCTGCTGTTCGATAACTTTGCAATTACATTTCTTATATCCCTGACCTCCACTTAGGGACTGAAGAGATGCAGCTTCTCGTAGACTTGAATATTCACCCGTAGGCACGTCATTTACCAATAAAACCGTAGTTTCTACAATTTTTATGTCGGTTCTGGGAAACCACCCTTTTATAATACCATGTTTTGTACCAATTTAATACTTGTTTCCTCATTAGACAATTACAAATATTTCTATTCATTAACGAGTGTCGAATTGAAATATAAACAGAGTTTCTTCTAATGGCCTTAAGAATATATAGTAGCCTATTAGCACAATATTCAGTTAATAGTCTGATTTTTCTAGGCGAGTAGAAGTTACAAGTATATTTAAATATGCTTTTGTCTACTGTCCGGCCATTAGAAAATAACCCAGACTATTAGCTAATGGCCTAATTGCATTGAGTATGTCTCTCTTCCTTACCCTTTCCTAGTTTAATAAAATTATCTAGTTTTGAATTAACACTAAAAATTGGTTGAATATTCAATGTTTTCAATAATCTCTTTATGTTTTCTGAAATTGATCCATAATATGAGAAAATATCTTTTTATCATTATTATTTTCATAGTTGTCTTTAATGTCATTTTTAGTTTTAGGTTCAACCGTATAATTTGAAGTGCTTTATCTAGTTGATAAGCCAGAACACTTAAATTTGTCATTTTTTAATTTCGTCCCCAAAAAAATTTCTTCTTAAAACTTTTTGTACCCTTGAACTTATACTCTTTTTTTAAAATCTTCCATTCTGTAAATACGACAAGAATAGACCAACGATGAGGACAATAAAAATAAATTTCTATGTTTGTTTTCTATTTTGAGACATAATACATTGATGCTGATCCATCCATCTCTTAATTGTTCAGCATTGATTTCCTGCTTTAAAAACAGACTCAATTTCTTGAAAACGTTTTCTTCCCAATGACGTCATATCTCTCTTATTGATTTCCCAATTCTTGGAATTCTCAAACTCAATTTCTCGGAATATTTTCGCACTGATATGTCACGATGTGGTAATATCTCTCTTAACTTCTCGGCAATGTTTTATCTTTTTTTGAAACCGATTTTATATTAAAATAAAAGTACTAAATAAAATTAAGCAGTAAAGATAATAAGAAATACATCCTAAAGAAATGTATACAAACTTCAAGAAATTAAGGACTATTTTAATTTTAATTTCAACTACCAAACTACCTTTTTATTTCTACTTTTTTACTTTGTAAAAATTAGATTCTTTATGTTATTCCAAATATATATTTAGTAAAATGCTGAAAATAAAATAAAGCTTTTGAGTGGATATACCTTTGTTGGCAACAAGAAGATACAGTGTGGATGTTACGATACATGGAAGGAAGTAGACAACCTGAAAATCTTTAACCACCACATTGTTGGTGGATAAAAGAATATAAAGAATGAAACAACTTATAATTAATCCAATTCCAGTTAATCCTTCCAATAAACAAATTTCCGAATAACTATGATCTTCATACAATAAAGTTGATGTTGCACAAAAACCCATTAAAGGCCCAATCCATAATCCTGGACTAACTTTTGTTCTGAAAAAAAAAAATTATTTAAAAGTTAAGACAGAAAAACGAAGATATTCAAGCAAAGATGCCTTTAATAACATTAAAGGCATCTTTGTCTGAATATCTTCGTTTTCTCCAACGTTTCGAAATCCAAAGATTTCCTCTTCAGGGAGTCAATTTAGCAACAGTCAGAAATTAAATTTGTCATAAATAAATTAAAATTCGTCAGAAAATTAAAATATTACACCCATACAGAATCAAAAAATAATTAATAATCCATTTGATAAAAATAATAAGACACATAATAAATAGTAGAACAAACAAACAACAAATAAAACAAAACTAATAAATAAAATTTGAATCAGGACAATTTAAACATTTTGAAACGTTGGAGTAACATTAAAGGAATCTTTGTCTGAATGTCTTCGTATTTCTGTCTTATTACTAAAACCACTCGGACGTTAAAGAATTTACTATAATTATTTAAAAGTCATTTACACTCTAAATAAAATGTTATCAGATTTTGTAAATGTTTTGTTGGATTAAAAAAATGTAAGGTCATAATAATTCTTGTATTAATTAATTTTTATTTTTAAATTTATTATTTTCTTCTTAATTTCTTATTCAGGGAATAGAATAAATAATTTAGTTTTGTTTAGAGTCATTTAACAATTTGACAAGAATGATTATTTCAAGAAAGTTGTTTTTCTTCAAATGAAGACTGACGGTATTATAATGTGTAATTAACGTCGTTTTTCATTTATATAATAAGCGCAGTCATCGATACTTATGAATTTTAAAATATTTTACATCTATATAGCTAAACAATATAGTTTTACATATGATTAAAATTGTAGAGTTACACAAACACTTTTTTAGGAAGTTTACAGCCAGTTTACATAAAAATTATATTTAAAATAATTATATAATATAATATATAAAATATAATATATATATATATATATAAATTGTATTTATATAAATATATGTATTAATATTATAATGTAAACTTGCTGCAAAATTCCTGAAAAAGATTTTCCTTTGTGGGTATTAAAACATGCACTAGAAGATAAATTAGTAAAGAAATAAGTACACAAAAATATTAAAATATGTTACTTTAATGATCTTTGATTTCAAAATAACAAATGTTAATTGAGATTTATGAAGACAAAAGTAAATATTTGTTTAACTTCAAATTTGATGATAAAACTTTCATATTTGAATTGAGTTTTTTAAAATAAAAAAGTCAATCTGCGTCTGATAAAACAGATAATAAAAATAGCAATAGTATAAAACGTATAAGTATAAAATAAAAATTAAAAATTATTGAAAATTTCATGTAAATCAATAATAAATTAATAAGAGAATTAAACGTAATTATCAAACGAACCTTTTTTGCAAATCATTGAAAAAACTTATATATGACTAAAAGCATACATGCATGAATTATAAATTCCTTATAGGTTATGTTAACTTTGTTTACAATAATGGAAGATTTAAATTGTACGTATATACTTACCGGTGACGAATTTTGTTCGATTCTAAATTTTGTATAATTCTCTCCCCCATATTTACATATAATTTGGTTATAGCCTCCATGGCTTTTCTTAATTATTTAAATGACGATGTCATTAACTATAAAATGTATAGGGACTCATTCACAATATACCACACCCCCGCACAATGTGTGCAAAATATACATATGCGTAAACTAATATTTGACTGTGTAAGATATTTACAAAGATCAACAATATATATCTTAAAACTTGGAATATATATCATATATGTATCTAGACTAAATTACAAAAATGTAATGAAAATAAAAATCAACATTTTGTTGGTTCGAAGCAGAGTCACCAATAAGGTAGTCGCAAATGCGCCAGTTCTTCTGAAAAGAAGAATTGCCAATCTTGAAAAAATTAAAATTGCAACCAATCAAATAAGAGTGGTAATTTTAAAAGTTAATAACAATTTTTTAAAATAACACAAAAATCTTAACTGGATCCGTCATTTATTCTGAATTGGAAATTAATTTAGAATTATAGTTTTTTAATTCGCTTCATATTAAATGGTTTTGGGTTAGAATGAAATAAATTCTTGACTAATAAGTTTTTTTATCGACGGTGTTTCTCGGTGTATAATTCAGAACATTACCATTAGAAGACAGCACCTGACGGCTGACTGACACATGTACACAACAGATATGTGTGATGGACTGATATGATGGTAGAAGTAAAGTGAAGTGTAACATGTACGCATGTGCGAAAAGAGAGTGAGTGGAGGCTGCATGAGACTCGAGGGTTAGATTCGTCGCCATTCCTTTGTAGTATCGAGAGACTGGGCACTAATTTAATGAGTAATGCCTTGTGAGAAATAAATTAATTATAACCAAGTGTGATATTGAAAAAAAGTTGAGTATTTATTCTTCTGAGATCCTTCCGAGATTATGAATAAATCTGGCCCCTGAACAGACCATTCACAATATTATTTTAACTGATAATGTTAATAGTTAACGTCTGCAACGATGTTAACAATTTTTTATTATTATCCACTGATCACAGATAATAGTGCACAACTCCAATTTTTTGGGGGGAAATTAATAACATTTTTATTATAACTTTGTTATAATTACAGGGTAAATGTGCCAATTATAGCACGATTCTTGTATATAGCTGTCTTTGAAATAGAAAATTCGACAATTATAATGAAAGAAGTAGATTTATGGCTTATTAAACTAAAAAAAGAAATTAAATATTTTAAATTCTAATCGCAATGTATCTGAATATGACATTCTCATATTCACAGAAACCTGGCTTACTACCAATGTGTTAAATTGGATTACTTTTGAATTATTTGAACTTGATTCATTTGATGTCTATCGAGATGATAGAATTAATAAAAGAGGAAAGGGAGTTCTCACTGTAGTTAAATCCAGAATTGATTCAATTAATTTTTATATATCAAATATAGTTTCTTCTGTTCCTAATTTTAATATTGTTGCAATTAAATTAATAATTGAGGGTTCAGCTTTTATTACTGTGTTCATTTTTATGTATATTCTCCCGGATTCGTCACTTAAAGAATTAGATGATTTTCTTGATTTCATTTCTGCGCAAGCGATGTGTTTAAATTAAAGAGGAGTTGGTTCATTAACATAGTTTACGTATTGTATTAAAATTAAAATTATCTTTTATATAGTTATTCTTAAAATATTGTAATTACTTCAGCGATAATCCTGTAATTGATCTTTGTGACCTGCTGTAGGATATTAAATTAAAAGCTCGTGTCATTTAAATAATAAAACATTAGTAAAGCTTTATAAAAATTAATTATTTAAACAAATTAAAGCAATAGAAAATTCAATGGAAATGTGCCAATTATGGCGCGGAACAATTTTTGTTCTTGAATAATTAAATTATATTCTAACAGGTAATAAGGCAGGATATATTTTGTTTTAATTTTATTTTATTCATCCTATTACTTTTTATGAGAAGATCAATGTTAAAAATATGGTTTTAATCATTGAATGAATCTATTTTTAAAGGAATAGTATTGAAATAAAAGCCAGTTACTTAATATTAAAATAATTTAATTTCGTATAAGATAGATAACAACAATGCTGACAGAAATGCAACACTTGTCAATAATAGCTGTAAAATAGAAATTTAACTTAACGGTTGGAAGTTCATTCTATAAGTAATACACATTTTAAAATTAAAAAGAAATCGATTAAATAGTTCTTGTCCCGTAATTTCATTAATCTAAAGTTTACAAAATATTGTTTCGCCTCTGAACATTATTTTCTCATATTAATTGCGTGCAAAACGTATCTGTGAAATCACTTAATGCCATTCATCTTAACATACTTAAAATGTTCAATATAAATTTTTAATTTACCTATAACACATTTTTTAATCTATTCACACATCGAAATTTTGTACATATTCAAGAATTCTTGAACCATCGACATAATTTCAATTAAAATTAATACTTATCAAAATGGAAAGATGTTAAGATAAATTTCAACAAATTACTAAGAACTAATAAAAATAAATTTCATAACTAAAGATAAATTTAATTTTTTTAAAAATGACCCAAACCAAATTGCGAGTTTGTTAATTTTTTCTTGTTTTTTTATGCTTATGAACTTTTAGATTTTGTCAATGGATCGAAATTTTTTAAATATGTAACAGACGAAGAAAAACTTGTTCCAAGTACATACTTGGAATTTTCAGAATTTATATGCCTAAATTGTTTTGTTTAATATTTTTAGTGAAACAAATCACAGAAAACATTTTGACAGTGCCACTTCATTATATTTTACACGAAGTATGTTTTCAAAAAATTTTAATACTCTATATAGAAATAATATTTTTAGTTCTTAATATTTAATAAGTTTAACAATAGTTTTGACTATTTTCTGTAAAACCAAACTTGAGCATAGTATTTCTGAAGTAAAAATAAAATCCATATATCTACAAATATGTCTATAAAGTATTATAATTTTTGAAAAATAATCAACAATTACTTTAATTGAAATATAATGAAGTGGCTCAAAAGACTTTTAAAAAATTATTTCTTCATGAAAAGTAAAATTACGGACTGGAAATTTTTAAAAAATATTTCCAAAGTTTTTTCGACACAGGAAGAAGCAAAATTTTTACATTTTCAAAAAATATTCAAAAATGAAATTGTAAATTACTTCTAAAATACTCTTATCAGATCTTCTTAAGTTCCAGTCTTGGATTTAAATAAAAAGTATTTTTTTTTATATATAAAACTAGATTTAAAAATATTTCAAGTATATGGCAAAGATAAGCACATTTTTCGTTTTCTTTATTTTGATTAATACAAAGTCTTAGGGTCGCACACAGATTCTTGAATTAATATTGATCTGATCCTATCTTCGAAGATTTTCACTCAATTATTGACATTAACTCAATACTTTAACATTATAATTTCTCAAAATTATTTCATATTTTTAAAATAAATAAGTACATTGAATTGTTGAATCTTAAGAGATTTATAACAATTGTCTCGTTTTAAAAAACAATTTTATTCTTCAAACGATTTAAAAACTGGCCTTCGTTCGACAGCGATTTACAAAACAATCTCATTACATTCATTTTTTTTTCTACTTAAAAATTATCTATCGTTAAAAAAGCTCAGTCGATCTTAGGAAAAATTCTAGATAACACATGTGCAAATCATTCGCGAGCAAATGAAAAATTATTTTTTGTCAATCGTACAATATTAATTATTATATTTAATATTTGAATTAAAAATTTTAATTTTCTATATTTTATAGAACAAAGAAATGGAATTTTTTTCGTTTAGTAATAAATAAATGCGAGATTCAAGCAATTAATATTGTAGTAAAAAGTTGACATTCCAGAGTCAGATTCTAAAAGATTATGAAAAGATAATTTTTTTCTCTTTAAAGAATGAAAGAAATGTATTAATTTTAAGTTTAAATTAGAAATTTTCTAATAATCTACAGGAATAATATTGATATTGTTTAGAATTTTTCTACATATTTCGTATAAATTTAGGAATGAAGGATTTCATTATTTTTTATTTAAAAATTGTTTCGACTTTTAGAATCGGACGTATTAATTGTCAACAATTTGTCCTTTAAAAAACCATTCAAACTTTTACATACACACTTATATATATGTATACTGAATCTGTGCAGTCTGTGAGATAGTCGCAAGTTTCAAGTTAATCATTATGTTCTTAACAATAAGCTAAAGTTACAACTAACTTTACAAGCTTAAGAATACTCTTCGCTGTGACTTGAAATTCAAGAGAGTAATTTTACAGATAACTGTAGATGTACGCATTAGAAGAGTCGAAGCCTACTAATGGTTGATGATCCAGTGGTCACGCGAATTTTGTTGAATCTGGGTAATCTTCTGTGTTTCCTGCGCCAGCGTTAACAGAATTCAAGGGTGGAACAACCAAGGAAAGTGCTTTAACTTTTGCTGCCCAAGCATCATCGTTTGCCAGAACCCTGAAAAAGATTTCACATTTAATTATATAGGAAAACAGAGAACATAGTGTCAGGGTAAAGGTCCTGGTGGCAAGTGGTTTAACTAAAAATTTTTTAGTTAGTCCACTTGCCACCAGGAACTTGCATGATTTATTGGTGAATTATTTTAGGATTCATTTTTAATAAAAATGTAAATTTTTCGGCTTTAATCGTGTTTAATTCTCCAAATTCCAATAGAATTTATACTTTATATAGACCAATCGAATCGTCTTGATGCAAAGAATAACATTTTATTATAATTATATTAACTTCAATATTCACAGGCATGACATTTGGTCCCCTTTTGCCCCCTTATTTCAATTTTATCATCTTTTCACCTTTTTTTTTGATGATTTGTCACCTTTTTCCCCTTTTTCATCTTTTTCTAATCAAAAATAACCAAGTTTTTCTTTTTTTGAAATCTTTTTCAAAGTGTAATCATAAAACTTATACTAAATTTTATAGAATTCAGTGAGTTTTATTTTTGATTTAGATTATTAACACCACAATATAATATAAATATGTTTTTTTATGTTAATGATTTAAATAATATAGATATCGTAAAGAATTTTATAAATTATAATGTAGTTCATTCAACAGAACGCAGATCTTTAGAAAAATAATTAAAATATTATTATTAATAGTTTTTTCTAGAAAAAAAATTCTAATTTCTAATACAAAACCTTCAATTTTTTCCATTTCTGACAATAATTTCTTTTTAAATAACTTAATTCTTAAAAAACTATCATAAAATTATAACTTACAAATTATTTAATGAATAACTTTATTTATATATTTCAAAATTAATTCAATTTTAAAAGATGATTCAATTTTCATAAATAGATGAACTTCAAAACACTTTATATTCAAATTTTCTAAAATTTTAATTTTGAATGAATTTCATCAGAAATTCTAAAGAACTTAACGAGGAATTTTAGTTAAAAACACTAAAAAAATTTGAATTTTGGAGAAGTTTCAAATGATTGCAAAAATTCAATTATTTTCAAAAGTAATAAAATTCTTCGCAGAAATTCAATTAAATTAAAAAATTTAATGAAATTTTCGTCAAAATTTCAAATCTCTTTATAAATAATAACATTCTTCTTCGAAATTCAATTATTTTCAAAAATTTTAATAAAATTCATGGCAAAATTTCAATTATTTGCAAAAATTTTTTTAAATTCTCTTCAAAATTTCCATTGCTTTTAAAAATAATACAATTCTTCTCAAAAATTCAATTATTTTCAAAAATTTTAATTATTTTTAAAAATTTTCCTTAATTAAATATTTATTGTTAATATTTATTATTTTAATAAAATTTCCTAAAAGAATTTAATTATTTAAAAAAAATTTGATAAAATTCTACGTAAAAATTTAGTTATTTTCATAAAATAATAAAATAATTTCACAGGAATTTAATTATTATTTGCAAATTTTTTAAAAATTTCTTCACAATAATTCCATTATTTTCATAAATAATAATCAAACTCATCGCAGAATTTCAATTATTTTTAGTACAATTTTAGTCGAATACCTCGTAGTAATTATTTTAAAAAATTTTATTTAAATTCATCGATAGAATTGAATTACTTAAAAATTTGTTGATAAGGGGCTGTACACATAATACGTCACGCGATTTTTGACCATTTTTAACCCCTCCCTCCCCCTATGTCACACTTCGTCACAAATCTTGAACCCCCCCTCCCCCCTACGTCACGTCACACACGTAAATTTCACTGTAAATTTTATACATTGGACAATATATATGTATATTATATCTTACACTCTAAATTATTGAATCAGTTAAGAATATCTGATTTAGAAGCAAAAAATCAGTCACTAATTCAAATAGTAATATTTTTTTCTGACAATTAGTTGAAAATAACTGATGTTTCAATACAATTGTTTTTGATTGATTCAATTAGTCACGTTTAACTACCTACATAGCACCGAAACTTTCCTAAAAATTTACTAAAGATTTACTCGCAAGCTTCGAAATATTTAAATGCAAAGTTTAGTTAAAATTGTGTAAAGATTTAAATATCCCACTTCAATAAATGTTTAGCGGGAAACTTTTCCGAAAATTTAAGTTAAATTTTCAGGAAGATTTTCACGAAAGTATAGTCGAAAATGCAATTCAAATGTTCAGGAAAGTTTCAAGCTATATTTTTAAGAAAATTTGACGATAGACATTTATTGGAGTGAGAAATTTAAATCTTTACACAATTTTAAAATAAACTTTGCAAGTAAATTTTTTGACTTATGCAAGCAAATCTTTAATATACAATATTTAGAAAAATTTCGGTGTTTTGTGGATAATTTTTGTTATTTTTAACTGATTTAGAAGCAAAAAGTCAGTCACTGCTGATTGACAGTTAAAACCATGATTTTTAACTGATTCAAATTAAGAGAATATCCCGTGTAGAAATTTCGCTATGGTCCGGATCAGGGACTGATCGGGCCTTCCATATTAGGGAATGAAACACACGGCCCGATATGGCCCTGATCAGGAAATCCACATTTGATCGTCGCCCCGATCTGGCCCAGGTCGGGCCGTGTGTTTCATTCCCTAATATGGCCATAATAGGGATATTTCTACACGGGATATTATTTATCATATTATAAATAATATGCCAATAGATGTTAAACAGATACATAATAGATATTAAATAGTTCAAACCATTCTTAACTTGTTTTATTTAGAAAAAGTGACATTGTCACATATAATTTCTTATTATCTTTGAATTTAAAAGATCGTGACGTAACACATGAGTTCACCCCCCCCCATGTCACACTTAGTCACAATTCTCAGACCCCCTCCCTCCCCCTAGCCGCGTGACGTATTATGTGTACGGCCCCTAAAATTCTTTTATGAGGAGAAAAAAAGTTTATTTTCGTAACGATTTATTCTTTTTTCTAAAAAAACAAGTTAAATAATCATGTTAATTATCTATATTCTTCAATTTTGACAACATTTTTCAAAATGATGGTAAAAATTAAAAAATAGGTGATGGTTCAAGTATAGAAAAAAAATTGAAAAATTTTAGAATTTTTAATAAAAAATTGAAAATAATTTTTTTCTCTTAATAAACAAAAAAAAAATAATATTTTAATGGTAAATAGATAGAACACATGAGTACAAATAAATTCTGAAAATTTGTAAAGAAAAAGATGGTCTTTTTGAGAAAAAAATTTTTTTTATTTTTTCGAAAAATTGAATTTTTATCCTTGTTTTTCATCATCTTCATTTTGCGTAATTTTTATCATAAAAAGGTACAAAAAAAGGTAAAAAAAATGAGCTCAAGAGCAACAAAAAAGGTTTAAAAATTACGAAAGTTTTGCGATTTTATAAAAGAAAATGTAAAAAAGTCATTTTTTTGCGAAAATCATAAAATATTTGTAGAAAGTGCAAAAAAACGTATCTAATATTAAAAAAATACGTATTTTTTTTATTTGGAAATGCCCTGATATTTTTATTATTAATGTTCATTCTTTCAAAGTAAAACATTTTTCTAAAGCGCCGGACATTTTCGAGGACATTTTTTTAAAAATTTATTTAGATCTGTTTCCATGTATATATTTTTTTTAAATATTGATAATAATTATTTATCTATATAATATTATAACTGTAATTATACTGTTTTATTCTCAATATAATTATTAAAATATATTTTTACATATGTACAAATTTTGTACTTAATATATTTACAAATATTTTTGCATTTTCTTACTCAAAAATACGGCACTGAAAGTTGATGACTTCACATGCTGTCATTGACTCTATAGAACAGATACGTATGTAGTTTTTAATTGTGACTTTGATAAATTCAATATTTTAGAGTGAAATTTTTTGTTGGATATAATTGACTATAATTGACAGAACGTCAATTATAGTTTAATCATTAAAGCAACTTTTTGACCAAAAGACTCTATTAAATAATAGTTAATAGTTCAATTTATTTATTTATGACGTAAACAATAATAGTAAATAATAATAGCAATAATAATAAAAAATCAAAAGTAAAAAAAGACTTGTAATAGAAAATATAAAAGATGATGAACAAGTTTAAAATAATAGATTGAACTTACTTCCGAGTATTATCACTGACTATTTTGTCAGGTGCTCCATAATTCGGTGGATTTGCGTAAGGATCATATCCAAGAACCGACAACATTGGGGCAATGTCTGCCATTTGATCTATAACATCCTTAGGGATATGTCCGACCCACTTTGTCAACGCTTCTAAATTTACTGGCTTAATGACTTGATCAGACGATCTTTCGACTCTGAAATGATAATAAAATTTATTTCTATTTAGAATTTTATCTAACTTTACTAATTAAAATTTTCAAAAACATTTTAGTTGCTGTAAAATTTGTGTATAATCTTTTATAAAAAAAAAAAAAAATATGAAAAGGTATTGGTAGTCTGTGAGTTTGAAAAGTTTTAAAATGAGAAATTTTAATTTCTAAATACTATTTGAGTGGAAGAAGGAGGAGAAGGAGGAAGAAGAACGTTTTCAAATATGTGAAATTGCTTATCACTCAATTCGATGTTTGAGGTAACTTGATGCGAATTCACAGTATAATATCAATCAAAACTTTCAAGTCTCTCTTCGCTTACTTGCTGAGCGGAACTCCTCCCGGTTTATTGATGAATTCTTCATGGTGAAGTACTGACTCGTTCCAAGGTACGTCCAAGAAACCGAGAATTTTCTCCATCCACACTCGAGGATGGAGCACCAATTGCTCGTAAGGAACCATTAGGCAACGATCTCTTCCAACGTCTTTGCACTGATTGTACATAGTTGATATTGCAACATTCCACTTCGACAAACATTGTCTGTAGGACGTTAAATCGAATCCTGTTATTGTCACCTGAAAAATTGTGATGGATTAACTTTTTAACTAAAAATCAAACGTCAGAAATTCAACATTTATCTTAACTTTGTTTAAATAGGTTGTCTTTTAATTTCCATAATAAACTGAAATTTATCTAGTGTCCGTAATAAATTTGTGCATTTATATGAGCCGATATCAAAACTATACACAAAAATTTACATAAAAGTGTTACATTTTACAACAAAAAAGTAATGTTACTTTAACATTCAACTTTTTTGAAGGAGTTTGTTTAAACATTTATTTTTATGTTACCATTCTGTATGTGTATCTTCATGCATTAACTTTCATGTTCTAGAACCTTCTGTCTTGTAAATTCAAACAATGAATTCCGAGTGATATTGATCCACATATTTAAATGCAAATCCAAGCTTGGTCACTCTTATTATATGACTGTATATAGAAAGATAATAAAACGCCTTTGACAATATTCAGATTCACGAAACCAACTATATAAATGTAAAAATACAGTTTCGGTGCTACACAATTGGATCTACTGTCTAAAATCTTTGTTTTAGTCAAAATAGTCTGATATCGAGAAGAAGTCCCTCTTTGATAAAATTAGCCCGGAGGTCAAAGTTATTATTTTTCTTATTAAAAGAATTCATAAAAAACACTATTTTTAGGCTTTTTAAAGAAGGATCCTCTTGAGTTTTTTTATAATATAGAGTTAGGAAAAAAATAAATTAAAAAAATGTAAGAAAAGTAATTAGAAAGGAGATGTTGGGAAGTTTATCTAAACAAAGAACTAAAGAGACTAAAGGCAGTAACCAGTAACAAATAATGATGAATGAAATAATCATAAAAAGATGTATACAAAGGCCGTATCATTTTTACAATTTTTCGAGACGATTATCAAGTTTGGTCTTTTTTTCATCAAATTAGAGCTTTTTTTTATTAAAAAAGAGCTTTTTCCGATACACAAAGGTACTCAGAACTTTTTTAGAATTATTTCCGATACAGAAAAAAATTTGTGCCTTGAAAAACGACGCTAGTCTCATCAACTTTTTTAAAACAATTTTTCGAGTCGAATTTCAAAGTTGGGCTTTTTGTCATCAAATTGGAACTTTTTTTTATTAAAAAAGAGGTTTTACCGAAACACGGAAGCACTCAGAACTTTTTTAGAATTATTTCCGATTCAGAAAAAATGTGTGCCTTGAAAAACGAAGCTGGTGTTGACAATTTATTTTTACAATTTTTGTAGTCGAATATCAAATTTTGTCTTTTTTTTCATCAAATTGGAGCTTTTTTTTTATTAAAGAAGAGCTTTTTCAAAAATATGGAGGTACTCGAAACTTTTTTAGAATTTATTTCAGATTCAGAAGAAATTTTTATCTTGAAAGACAACGCTGAATCCGAATTTGAAGTGAAATTTTCTACATTCAAAATGTCGGATCCAATATGGCGGATAATTTCGGAGATTGATGCAATTTGATCGAAATGGTGACAAAAATTTTAAAAATGAATTAAAGTCTGATGTCAGACTTCAAAAGTGCAAAATGGTTTGAAAAATATATAACTTAATTAAATGTGCAGCGTACAGTTGAAGAAAAATGAACTATTTTGTAATATATTTTTCGTAATGAAATTCGTTATTCATAAGAAAGAATAATTTATATTTAGACTAAAGAAAGAAACTATTTTAATTGGTTTAAAATAGATCCACTCTTAAACATGAAAATTCAATAATAAAAACCAGAAACGATGTGAAGGAAACTTGTTAGACTAATCGGTAATTCTGACAATCATTAATAGTCGATATTCAAAGTATAAAATTCTTGTTAATATTAAATTAAAATCAATTATATTAAAGAGCACTGAACTCTAAACGGAGTAAAAGCTGTAAAATTATTCATTGGATTTATTTCTAAATTAAAACGATCGTAGTTATGTTTAAAGATCAAATTACAAATTTTTTTGAATTTTCATTGTTTTGTTAAAATTAAAATATAATTCTTAAAATAATTGAAATATTTTAATGTTCTTGAACTTAATTTATAAATATACCACTTGCAATCAGAATGCATTTAACAGATTTCCTACTTTTTGTTTAATTTATTGAATAGTTAGTAGTTAGAGATAAAGAATTAGCATAATAGATGAAGAATTAGATTTTATAATTAGTTACTAGATCAAATGTAATTTGTCAAACAAAGTTTATATTCTCTTGTGGCAAAAAAAAAATTTTTTTTTATCGACCAGTATAATAATTAAAACTACCCTTATTTATAACTGCAATTTGCATATTTATGAATATACTCTTATTATACTGTAATGAATATATCACAAAAGTTTTGTGGTTTTTCATATATATATTTTTGTAAGTTTTCCTAGAAAATTAAATTGCATTTCGTTCGGCTTCGTTTTCTTTTTTTTTTTCTTTTGCATTGAATAAAGTTTTCTCATTTTATTGGAAAACGAGTATATTTCAACTATTATTAAGTTATATTTGAGGTTTACCTTTCTGGTTATAATAGAATGAACAGTTGCTCGTCCGTCCCGGACCATAAAAATAAACTTGGCGTTGGGGAATAGTTCGAGAACGTAAGAACCAAGCTTCAATGTAAGTGGATCCTTGTTGCACAGGCGTGGAGCTGGTTCACCATGTCTTGCTATCACCTCGAGACAAAAGGCTGCTATCGCACTATCTATTACCTGAAGAGAGATAATATATTTTTAGCATGTTCCAAAAAGAATTTCTTACAAAGAATTTAGTGAAAAATATTTTTCACATTTATACATATACGATATTAAACATTTTTCTTGAGATTAGATTTGAAAAATAGAAAAGTGATTTAGAAAATATGTTATGAGAATAGTTGAATTATTATGAATTATTTTACATCTTTTGAAAGTCCAGCTTCTTCAAGGCGTAAACTTTCCCTTTCTGATTTGTACCAGTGTGTTCTCATTTGTAAAATTCTTGGTATCACTCTCGTCTCTTGGCCACATCTAGAAAATTTTTTTTCGAAAATTAACATTTTATTTTGTTTAAAAGTATTTTTTATTCCCTTTTAGAATAATTGTCGTGATTTTTAATTAAAATAAAATTGTTTATTCGTTGTATTGTATGCTTTTAAACGATACATATGCACAAAGAGAATGAAACAATTTATTAATTATATTAGTAATATAATGAATAATAATAATAATAATAATAATAATAATAATAATAATAATAATAATAATAATAATAATAATAATAATAATAATAATAATAATAATAATAATAATAATAATAATAATAATTGTTATTATTAATAATTATTCTGCAAAACCGAAAACATAAACCACTCTAACTTATTTGAAATTTCGTTTTGATTATTAATTAATTAAATTAATTATTACCTCACTTCTGGATGGGCATCCAACATGGCACGCATTAAAGTTGTTCCCGACCGTGGCATTCCACCAATGAAAATTAAAGGCATATACCTATCATAACTATATGTTTTTTGGTCATATGGTCCAACTACATATTTCTGCAAACAAAAAAATAACATTTTATTGAAACCAATTAAATTCCGTTTATTTTTCCTTTTTTTTTCTTTCTTCTCAAATTAATAAATGGAAATATTATGTGAAACTTCTTTGCGAGTAGAAAAAATTAATTATTATGTCACTAAAAAGTTTCTCTTAATTAATAATTTAAAATGTTGATTCCATATGCAGTTAATTACTACAAACACGTCACTCCAGTAGCTGTTTGAATGCGATAAGGACACGTTTGGTCCTTTATCACATGAAATGAATAAGCTCATGAATGTAACACGCACGAACACAAACATATATATATATATATATATATCAAATATATATATATATATATATATATATATATATATATATATATAACATATTTTTAATAAATATCAAGCCATTTACAAAGTATTTTTTTAGTTCATATGTAGCACATAATTAAAAGCGGTATTTCTTCTCAGGTAAGTTGATTTTCAATCTAGTTCATTTTAAATATATTTGACCAGGTCTATAAAAAGGGACCTTACGTGTCAAAAAATCATTTTAAAAATTAACGAAGACGATAATTTGGGGAAATTAAAAACTGAACCATTCCTAGGTAGTTTAAGGTATAATGAATAACTGAAATCCGTTTTCAAAAAAGTTGATAAAAAAAATTTATATAACTTCATAAATGGTGGTATTTAAGGGTTTTTCAAAATCATTGTGAAATATGGTATTGTTTCAACATCAAAAGTTGATGAAAATATCTGAAACTCGTTAATCGAGAGTTTTTGGGGTCGCTGATTACGAATCCGATACAGTTATTGTCAATTATCAAAATTAAAATTTGACATTATATTCGTAATCAGCGACCTTAAAAACCCTATTATTATCTTTTTTTTTATTAAAAATGATCAACTTTTTAAAAAAGTTGACAGTTTCTTTGACAGCTGTCAATTATCAAAATTCAAATTTGACATCATATTCGTAATCAGCGACCTCAAAAACCCTATTATTGATTTTTTTATTGAAAATGATCAGTTTTTAGGGAAGTTGACAGTTGAATTGACAGCTGTCAACTGTAAACTTGTTAATCTGACATCACATTCGTAATCAGTGACCTCGAAAACCCTTTTACTGACATTTTCATTAAAAACCGTTATTGTTTAAAAAAGTTGACAGTTTCTTTGACGGTTGTCAATTATCAAAATTCAAATTTTATATCAAATTCATAATCAGCAACCTCGAAAACCCTGTTATTGTCTTTTTTATTAAAAATTCTCATTTTTTAGAGAAGTTGACAGTTGAATTGAAAGCTGTCAACTTTCAAATTGTCAATTTAACATCATATTCGTAATCAACGACCTCGAAAACCCTTTTACTGACATTTTAATTAAAAATAGTTATTATTTATAAAAGTTGACAGTTTCTTTGACAGCTGTCAACTGTCAAAATTCAAATTTGATATCATATTCGTAACCAACGACCTCAAAAACCCTTGTACTGATATTTTAATTAAAAACAGTTATTATTTAGAAAAGTTGACAGTTTCTTTGACAGATGTCAATTGTCAAAATTCAAATTTGACATCATATTCGTAACCAGCGACCTCGAAAACACTTGTACTAACAGTTTCATTAAAAACAGTTATTATTCAAAAAAGTTGACAGTTTCTTTGACAGCTGTCAATTATCAAAATTCAAATTTGACATCATATTCATAATCAGCGATCTCAAAAACCCTATTATTGTCTTTTTTATTGAAAATGATCATTTTTTAGGGAAGTTGACGGTTGAATTGACAGCTGTCAACTGTCAAATTGTCAATTTAATATCATATTTGTAATCAGTGACCTCTAAAACACTTTTATTTATTTATTTATTGGTGTTTATACTTTTACTGACGTTTTCATTAAAAACAGTTCTTATTTAGAAAAGCTGACAGTTTCTTGACAGATGTCAACTGTCAAAATTTAAATTTAACATAATATTCGTAACCAGCGACCTCGAAAACCCTTGTACTGACATTTTAATTAAAAATAGTTATTATTTAGAAAAGTTGACAGTTTCTTTGACAGCTGTCAATTATCAAAATTCAAATTTGACTTTATACTCGTAATCAGCGACCTCGAAAACACTTTTACTGACATTTTTATTAAAAACAGTTATTATTCAAAAAAGTTGACAGTTTCTTTGACAGATGTCAACTGTCAAAATTCAAATTTGACATCATATTCGTAATAAACGACCTTGAAAACCCTATTATTGTCTTTTTGTATTAAAAATGATTACTTTTTAGAGAAGTTTATAGTTGAATTGACAGCTGTCAACTGTCAAATTGTCAATTTAACATCATATTCGTAATCAGCGGCCTCGAAAACCCTTAGAAACTTGTATCACTTATTTATACTTATTGATGCTATTTAGAAAACTTAGTTTTTTTCTATGTTTGGGGAATTTTGTTAATTCATATGAAAAACAAGGTTTTTTTAAATTTAAACTTTAATTGCTGTTTTCGCACGTAAAGTCCCTTTTTAATAGACCAGGTCACATATGCGAGCAAATTAAACATATTAAAAAAGTAAATATAGTACGTGAATGGAAATTTAATATTTGTTAAAAATGCAGAAAAATTCTTCAATTTAATCTTTTGCAGTCACAATAAAGAAAGTATTTTCCCATTCCAAGGGGAGTAGTACAACGTCATGCCAGACCGTGTCTGATCAAAACGGGATGTTTCTACTGAAATACCTTTCTACTAGGTATGTAACAAAAGTGACAACCACTGACAACTAAAGACATTTAAATCAAGAAAATTTTTCTTATATTCCTTCTCACAAATATTACCTACATAAACTTTTCAACTTGAATTATATTTACATAAACTAATTTCTTTATTCAACATAGGTAATTATAATATCAAAAGTTTTTTTATTTCTAAATAAAAGAGCAATTTTTTTCTCATTAATTATTTTACTTCATATATTTTTGAAATAATGTAATTTCGCTATCTTGCATTCGTCAATTATGTTTAACAAATAAAAATTATACCCACTTTGTTTATTATATGCCTTTTTCTATAACAAATTTCGTTTGACTGGTCTAAATTATATGCAAAGTTTTCTCCTTTTTATTTATAAAAAATATTAGAAAATTGTTACTTGTTAAAAAATTATGATTAAGAAATAGAAATATTTTTGTCGAAAATTTTCAATTTTCATAAGTAAATTATTTGCATCATTTCTATTTCTTACTTACAATTGTTTAAATTCAAAGTTTTTTTTAAATAAAGGAAAAAAAAATCTTTATGAATTCTATTTGTGAATCACAAATTTTTGATTGAAAATGAAATTTAAAATGAAATAGAAAATTTTTGAATTTTTAGAAGAAAAAGGAAAAAAATTTACTCAAAAAAATGTTCTGTTACATTTATTTACGAATTTCTTTAATTGGAAAATTATTCAAAAACATCAATAACTTCTTTTTTAATAAATACCTATTTAATTATTATTATTTTTATATAAGAATTAAGATTTTCAAATTCAAACCTTTTTGAAATTAAACAACCCAAATACTTCATTAAAGATGACTGTGTGATAAAATAATTATTTTATATTATACTAATATATTGTCACTGTAACTTCTTCAAAATTATTTTCATCATTTCAATTCAATTATTATTTTCTAGAATTTTTAACTAAAATTCTTCTCTAAATCAACTTTATTTTTAATAATTTTTAAAAAAGTTCTGTGAGAATTTTCAAATTCATTTGTTTACAATTCAATTGTACGAAATTACAAACATTTTAATTTGAAAACTTTTCAGAATTCAATTATTTCTAAAAATTCACGCTATAATGATTTTAATATTCAATCTAAAATTTAAACTAAAAAATTCATTTTTATATCAATTTTTATTAGGAAATTCTACGAGAATTCCATTATTTAAATACAAAAATAAATAGTTTATTGAATAAATTAATGTTTCTTAAAAATTAATTCTTATAAAGAATTTAATATCAAATTTTTAAATAATTGAATTCTTTTGACGAAATTTAATCAAATTTTTAAGAATATAATTACATTTTTCGAGAAATTCCATTAAAATTGTTTTAAAAATAATTGAAATTCTGCGATGAGTTCTATTATTTATAAAAATAATTAAATTCCTAAAAAAAACTTTTATTATTTAAGAAAATAATTGAATTATTGTGAAGAAATTAAAAAAAAATTTGTTAATTGAATTCTTATGAAATTTTTATTATTTTTGAAGATAATTGAATTTCTGCGAAGAATTTTATTAGTTTTGAAAACAATTGAATTTCTGCAATAATTTGTAACTTCGACAAAATTCAATTTTTTTTTAGTGTTTTTAACTAAAATTCTTCTATAAATCCATTATTTTTAATAATTAATTAAACATACAATAAAAAATTTAACGAATTTCAGAAGAAATTGAATAAAATTTTTTTACATTCTATCATTTTTAAAATTGCTAATTTTATTTAGAAAAATGATTAAAAAATTCGCGCGAAAATTGTTGCTTGTTCGATTCATAATCAGTGACAAACCGAAGATCAATATAGGTGAATATAAAAATAAAATTGTAAAGTGGAAAAAACATTTAAATAATTGATACACCTGAAAATTGACAAATTAAAATGGTGACATAACAATTAAAATGAAATAAAAAATTACAAAAAATTTCCTGTTAAAACGAATAAAAACTTGAAATTCAGGTCAGAATTCGTAAGTCAATATGCAAACATACAAAAAATTAGATTCACAGTTACAACACAGGAGGCGAATAAACCCTAAAAAATTTAAATATAAATTTGCAATTTTTTTGCGACTTTTTCGAGAGGAAAACATAACTTTAAAATTTATACAGTTTAAAATTAAAACGTAATTTTGAGAAAGGAAACACAGTTTTCAAAAAAATGCTATTTACAAAAAAAAAATTTGTAATTCTTTTTTTTTTTTTTTGTTCAATGCGATTAAAAGATTTTGTCATAATGTAA